TTCTTCTTCTTCTTCTTCTTCTTCTTCTTCTTCTTCTTCTTCTTCTTTTTTTTTTTTTCACCATCTAGTCACAAGATGAGTGGTTTTACTCCATTACAGTCTCACACCAGAACTGTGTCACAAGTCCCCAGGAGCAGGACTAACCAACCAGTCAAGGATGGAGACAATTTTAAAACTGCAAGCCAAAGTCAACCTTTTCTTTGTATAATCTGATTGTGAGCCAATGGTGCATGCCTGTAATCCCAGCACTCAGGGAGGCAGAGGCAGACCTCTGTGAGTTCAAGGTCAGCCTGGTCTACAAAGCAAGTCTAGGACAGCCAAGGCTGTCCTCGAAAAAATGTTGCTTATGTCAAGTACCTATTGCAGTGATGAAAACCTAACAAAGCTAATCCATAGTAGATTGTTAATGAGCTTCTCACTTGCGATGACTACCAATAAGCAGCATTGTTGGCACACATGGAGAGCCCTGGCTGTTTCCTGCCTCTGAGATCCTGTTCTTTGCCTTGGATGCAGGAACTGCATGGATTGATGTGTATTCTATGTGTGAGAAGAAAGTGTGCATGGGTGTGTGAATTGAGGCACACAGAGGCATGGGCTATGGAAGAGGTCATGGCCTGTGGGCCCAAACACATGAACTCTTCCTTCACTATGATAATGATGATGATGAGCTCCTGGCTACTATGTCTTTCTCAGCCTCCTTTGCAGCAAGCTGACAAGCGATCATACAATGTCTAGGTCCACATGCTGAAGAAGAGAGTATCTCTGCCTATCTTTCCTTGGCTAGACACGGACGACGATTTAGCTTTAGGGAATGGGCACAGCCGTGGAATTGAAGAAGCCTGGATTCCCAACTACGTGGAGAACCTCCCAGCTGTCAAAGCTCCCACACTGAACCAAATGGCGGGTCTTATATAAGACTGGTTACAGTAATGAAGTGTGTCCTAATTAACACCAGTGCTAGGACTGATGAAGAGCAAGATCTGAACAGTATATAAGATCACTCATTCCTTCAGTACTGCTGAGAACCAAGTTTGTGCTCTCTCTAACATTACAAAAGTGACTTGTTTCTTTTATCTGTCTTTCTCTATACCTGTCTGTCTGTCTACCTATATTTATGGCAGTACTCAGGACTGTGTTTAGGAAATATGAAACACTTCTCGGCTTTGTGCAATTGTCATGCTAATCTCCTCCATCTTGTACCAGCTTTAGTCACACGTGCTGCAGAAGCAAGAACTTCTAGAAACTGACGCTTGACTTCGGGGGAGTTTAGTGTCTAGCAAATGAGAAAGATGGTTTAGTAGAAATCCAAACTGGTAGCTTCTCCCTCCCACTCCTTGGCTGCCCCAGGACTGCCAATACCATGAATGACTCAGTAGCTGTCCAGATCGGGAAGTTTGTGGCGAAGTGTCCAGTGCCAAGGAAACAAATGGTCCTGGATGTCCTTCACCCTGGGAAGGCAATGGTACCAAACACAGAGACTCAGCCAAAGCTAGCCAAACTGTACAAAACCACATCAGTTGTCATCTCTGTATTTAAATTCGGAACTCACTTTGGTGGTGGCAAGGCCCTGTGATTATGCATGAGCCTAACACAGACTTGCAAGACTCATGGCCTTTATGAGAAGAGAAAGACCCTAAGAAAACGAAAAGGGACACAGAACAGAAAGGGAGGTGCCACTGCAGTGGTGGCTGTGGTGGTGCTGACAGAAAGTGAGCTGGAGGCTGGATAACAGCTAAGGGAGTAGAGTCTGTGATGACCTCGTCCTCTGTCATGGCACCAATCTCTAAACAGAGGACCAGCAAACTGTAAAGCTTAAGAAAAGAAAAAGAAAAAAAAGAGAACTTTTTCAACAGGCACACTGACTGTAGGGTCTTCTTCAGAGAGTGTGAATTCTTTTTGTTGCTGTTTATTTGTTTTGTTTTGTTTTATTTTGTTTTAGACAGGATCTCACTATGTTACTCTGGCTGTCTTAGAACTCACTCTATAGGCCTTGACCTCACAGAGATCTGACTGTCTCTGGCTGCTGAATGCTAGAGATTAAAGGTGTGGGCCAGCATGCTGAGACTGTGGGGTTTCTTTGGACACAGCTGGGCCCTGTTTCTTAAGCCCTCTCTTGTAGCTTCTGTGTAGGAGGTGGCAGCAGACTGGGGGCAATGTTTGATCTCCAGAATAAAACAAAAAATACGCTTCCGAAAGCCTTGCCGGTGACTTGGGACAATCTGACTTACTGAATGAGTAATGACAGTCAGGAGGTTTTGGCGATCAGGGAATGTATGTGAGGGGGTGGAGGCGGGACGCTGACTGGCTTGGTGTGACAGCGGGGTGGAGGGGGCCGGGAGAAGAGTTATGTCCTAACTCTGGACTTCTGTCCCCGGGACCTACTCAGAATCAAAGGGATACCTGCCTCTAAGATCTGGGAGGAGGTCTGAGCAGCGGTAGTGCACACCTTGAATCCCAGCACTGGGAGGCAGAGGCAGGCAAATCTGCCAGCCTGGTCTACAGAGTGAGTTCCAGGACAGCCAAGGCTACACAGAGAAACCCTGTCTCAAAACAAACAATCAAATAACAGCAAATAAAGATCAACAACAACAATGAAAAGACCTGGAAGGAGGGACAAATACATAGCAGGAGTCAGGGTGACGGGTGAGAGATGCTGGGGTGTAGGCCGTGGTAGCAGAGGGTGTGGACAGAGTTCACGGAAACAAATGAGGACTTACGCCCCCAGGATCTGTGGACAGCCGCCCACCTCATTGAGAACACCCCTGGTGGAATGACTGGGGCCAGAACACTTAAAGAGCCTTGCCAACTCAATAAAGAGGCAGCATCCCTGTTTTAAAAGAAAACGCCCCCAAAGAATGCCCAATATGGACAACAAAAACATGTAGTGTCATTAGCCGAAAGATAAGCGGAAGCTAAGATCACCCTGACATGCCATTGCACAGCCCCAGGAGGCCTCTGACTTAAAACATGGACCCAAGCAGAAAGTGGGAGGATGCGCAGCAGATGGGGCCCTCTGACTGTGTGCTGGGAAAGACAAATGCTACCTCGGGTCTGGAAACCAGTTTGGCAGTTTCTTCTGAGGTTGGATTCCGGCTCCCACAATGTCATTCCGCGCATTTGCTCACCAAATGAACACCAATGTGCACACAAACGCTGGTGCTAGAATGTTCACAGAAGCTTTGCTCATGAAAGCTTTGGCTGGGAACAGCCTGGGTGCTGACATTGCTGAGTGGTGGGAAGGGGCAAAGAGCAGCGTGCTGCTGACACAGCAAAGCTCATTGCCAAGGAAAGAGCCGGACACAGCGGACTGTGCTCAAGAGCTCTACTTACTGATGGAAAAGGAGAAAGCAGTCAATTTCCAGGGACTGGAGTAGGAGAAATGATTGACAGCAAGGAGTCAGGGGCCTTTTGGAGTGATGGAAGGAGTCTTTTTTTTTTTTTTACTGTTTTGTTTTTGGGGATAAGTGTTTGAATGTGTGTGTGTGTGTGTGTGTGTGTGTGTGTGTGTGTGTGTGTGTAGCCCTGGGTGTCCTGGAACTCCCTCTGTAGACCAGGCTGGCCTCAAACTCAGATATTTGCCTGCCTCTGCCTCCTGAGTGCCGGGATTAAATTATGCACCACCACTGCCCAGCTCAAAAGAAGGAGTCTTGATGGTGATGGTGGTTACATTTGACCAAATTCATCAAAAGGCATCTACAAAAGCAGGTTTTATGTTTTGGTTTTGAGTTTTTGAGGTGAGGCAGGTCTTGCTATGGAGCTGAATCTGGCCTTGAACTCCTGAGCCTCTGGGATTACAAGTGGGCATCACCACATCTGGCTCAAAGAAGTGGATTTCATTGCAGTAATATTATATATACATTTAGAAGGAAGAGCAGAGGGTGATGCCAGGTACAGTGGTCTCCTGGGAGGTCTTTTGGACATCTAGGACCATGGAAGGATTACAGTTAAGAAGTAGGAAGGAAATTGCGTTTACGGCTGGGGATCTCCACAGCATGAAGAACTATGTTAAAGGGGTGTTGTTCCAGCTCTGGTACTGGCATGTAGGGCCAGGGATGGCAGTCTCAGCGCTAGTAGAAGACTCTTTCTAGCTTCCTCCCATGAGCAATTCATACTTCCAAAACGGCTGTGCCAATCCTTATCAAACGGGAATCTGATGCCAGAGCACTCCACAGAACTGCATAGGGATTAGAACAGAAATTCTGCCATTCACACAAGATTTTCTGGCTTTACCGGCTATCTGAGCCCTAAAGACCTCTGGTCAAGAGAGCCAGGACTTCCTGGAAGTCAGGCTGCCTCTGCTGAATGGGAGAGTGAGTTCCCTGAAAACAAAGCCCCCAGCAGGAGCCCCTCTTCTTTGTATTAGGTCTTAGGTCGAACCTCAGTTGGTGACCTTGAGTATTGGAGCCCACCATTGCCCTCCTTGTCTAGGGTTACAGTCTTTTATTCTGTAAGGAGGGGGCAGGGGAGCAGGAAACTCTGCCTCCGGCAGGCCCAGAGCCCCAGGCCTGACCCCTCTTGAGTACCCAGTGTTCAGCAAACTACTCTGCCATCCAGAGGCTGGCGCAGCCTGGAGATGTGCCTGCAACTGGTCTCTGGTCTTGTCTGATGTCCTGTGACTTTGAACTGCTGTGGCCTGAAATAGCTCCTTGGCTGTGCTTCTGAAGTGGAGCAGACACATTTCTTTCTTTCTTCCTTTCTTTTCTCTCTTTCTTTCTTTCTTTCTTTCTTTCTTTCTTTCTTTCTTTCTTTCTTTCTCTCTCTCTCTTTCTCTCTTTCTTTCTCTCTTTCTTTCTCTCTCTTTCTTTCTTTCTTTCTTTCTTTCTTTCTTTCTTTCTTTCTTTCTTTCTTTCTTTCTTTCTTTCTTTCTTTCTTTCGTTGTTCCTGCCTGACTACAGGGCAGTGGTTCTCAACATGAGGGTGGCAGTCTCTTTGGGGATGTCTATCAACCCTTTCACAAGGGTCTCCTAAGACCATCAGAAAACACAGATATTTACATTATGATTCATAACAGTAGCAAAACTACAGTTATGAAGTAGCAAGGAAAAGAATTTTGTGGCTGGAGATCACCACAACATGAAGAACTGTTGTAGCATTGGGAAGGCTGAGAAGGCTTCAGGGCCAGGCGCAGTATGCCCAGCACTGGCCACAAACCTGTCTGCCTTGTCCTCTCTGTCCTCTTTGGCTGGATTGCCTCATAGGCCACGAGGCATCTGGGAGATGTGGTGACGGAACCTCTCCCTACGGGGATCTAGTGAAGCCCTGTATGGATGTTGCCATGTCAAGGACCCCAGCATCCCAGCCCCACTGGAGCAGTAGAGCCTTCCCTGGGCGAGGCTCAGAGGAATGGCAGTCTCCCTCTGGTCCATGCGTGGATACTGACAGTTTGTGCAGAAAATAGCCTCTGTAGATTCCCCCCTGGACGTTTCCCTCTGAAGACTGCTCCCTGATCGAGACTGCTCCCACTCAGGGTAGCTGAACCTGCCTTCTTTCTCATCTGTGTGCATTAACCACACCTCCCTGCTTAGCCATGTGCACCAAACAAACCGAGCTCCTGAGTGCTCTGGCTCCTCCATCCAAGAGCATGGTGCTCCCGAGCCCAGCTTTTTTGTATGCCCAAGTGTTTGTCATTTCTTCAGTCCCTTTCCACTCTGTCAGGTCAGTCTCTGGAGCCACACAAGGACAAGGAACCACACACTTTTGCTTCTGGAAGTTTTCTCAGTCTGTTTGTGCCTGCGTCGCTTGTGACACAGCTGGCAGCCATTGAAGGGAAGGTCAGGAGAATCAGGAAAGCTAACCTGAGCCTTTCTGAGACTGGAAACCATGGGCCTCTAGGCTGTTGGCCAGGTAACATGACAAACCTTCAGATGCGCTCAGTTTAATTGGGTATCTGGAACAGCACAACATCCCTAATGGACAGAGTGGCATTAACAAGTCATCCCTAGGCTTCAGGGAGAGGAAGTAAATAAATGGAAACAAGGTGAAGTGCGCAACAAGAGTGACCCTGGATGGATCAGGAGGGAGGAGGCCAGGCACTCAAGTGAGGAAGAAAAGGATAGCTCCCTGCAAGGTGATGGAACTCTGTGTTACACCAGAAGAGGGCTAACAACTAGCTTTCTGGGGAAAGGCCCAAGTGTTAGCTTTTTCTGTGTTCTATGTCTTGTAAACACTCCAACCTGACAGCACTTGAGGGAGCTGAGTAGAGAAAGCACCAGGTCTAAGCTACTTTTCTGCTGCTGAGATAAAATACCCTGACAAAAGCAGCTTGATGGAGAAAGGGATCATCGTGGCTTGCAGGTCTAGGAGGATACAATCCTTCCTGTGGGAAGACATGGCAGCAGGCACGGATAGCATGGGGGCAGAAACAGGGGGTTGGATGGTCACAATTGTGTCTACACTCAGGAATCAGAGGGTAAATAGGAAATAGGACAAAGCTATCTGCCCTTGAGGTCCACTTTCAGTGGCCTACTTCCTTCACAGAGGCTCCGCCTCCTAAATGTTCCACAACCTTCCCAAGCAGTGCCACCAGCTGGAGACCAAGTGTCCAAACATTTGAGCCTATGGAGGACAGTTCACATTAAACTACAACAAGCTCCCCTCTGAACCCTCAAGATTTGCTCACAGAACCCTTTCTCCGAAGCCAAGGTTTGCTTTCTCTGCCAAGTTGGCCCCAACCCAAGAATTTTCATAGACATCCAATCCTCTAGCTTCACAGAAGCCACTTCGCCCAGTTCCAAGAGGCTGAAGCTCTCCAGAATGTCTTAATGGAGTGGGCCGGGCTATGCCTAAATGAGTTGAGGAAGATATCCGCTCTACTTGCCGACTTTCTCTAGATAATCTCAGCCAAGGTGCCCCTCTTAGACTTCCTGATGAGTGAACAGCTCAGGATTTTTGCAGCCATTAAAAAAATGGTGTGTGTGTGTGTGTGTGTGTGGTTTTGTGCATGTCTGAGAAAATAAGAGAACAACTTTGAGGAGTCGGCTTTCTCCTTCTATTGTGTAGACTCTGGATCCAATTCGGGCCAGCAGGCTTGTCCATGAGGACATTTGTCCACTGAGCCATCTCACTGGCCTTGCCACCTTAGTGTGTTGAGAGACAAGGTTTCTCACTGCATCTAGAGCTTGCTGATTGGGCTAAACTAGCTGGTCAGTGAGCCCATGGATCCTCCTGGCTCCGGTTTCCCAGCTCTGGGATTTCAGCTGTGTGGCGCCATGATGGGCTTTTCTTTGAGTGCCGGGCTTGGAGCCTCAGTCCTCATGCTTTCTCAGCAAGAACTTTACTGACTGAGACACCTCCCTAGAGAGCCCCTTTACTGATGGCAGGGTTAGTCCATAGGAGCCCAGCACTCCAGAGTTAAAGTGAGAAAAAGTATGGTGCCTACCCAGAAATCATCACTACAATGCTCTCTAGGTAAAGCCGGTCACTAAATATTTGCACATGACATAACCCATTTTAAGAAGCAGCTACCTCGTTACGTAACACTGGATAAGCTCTATAATGGGCGTGCCTGCGTGTATGAACACTCCTCTCACTCACTGGAAATATTTCTGTGGTTACTGTGGTGGCTGCTGGGTGTGGCCTCTCCCAAACAGCTCAACAAATGTACTCACTCCTGAGACTTGGTCTTCAAATGTAATCAGCTCACCCAGAAAGACTTGAAGAGTTACTTAAATTTGGCAAAGAAAATACAGCGCCCGTTGGCTATTTGTTGATATGAAATGCAAACCTGAGTATTCAGTTTTGTATTCACCAAATCTGGAAGCCATGGCCTCTTCCCAGAGACTCCAGGAGCCAGTGACTACAGGAGTGCAAAGGCTGGGCCTGCCTCAGAGGGACTCCTAATCAGAGGTACCGAATTCTCACCTCAGGTTCTGCTTTTATGACCCAGTGAGTCAGTACCAGGGCAGTCCTGGCAGTCTGTCAATGCGAGGCCCTCTCACTGGCAATGAAAGGAGCACCGGGAGTCCTTGGCACACAGAAGCAGTCAAATGTCAAGATTGGTTATGGGGAGCAGGCCAGGCGGTAGACAGCCGTCTCCATGGATTCTGCATCAGTAGGTCTCTCTCTCCTGTATTTAGGAGCTGGAAGACCCCATAAATCCTGCAGGTATTTCAACTTTAGAGCCCTCACAGGACAAACAACCAAGGGACGATATTCCCTTCTGCTGAGCCTTCCCCGGGCAGGCTGCTCAGAAAGGCAACACTGGACAGGAAGTCTGATGATGTGCGCCCCATTCTCAGCACATCAAAGGCGTCCATGCAAGGCGCTCCCTCCCCTCACACACCTGGCCCGGGGGCTCACTGGGCCATGCAGGAGACTTTAGTAGGAAAGGCTGTGACTTCAGGAATGTCTGAGAACTACCCACCGTCTTCCTTTATTCTCTTTAATGCTGTCCCCCATGTGGTTACTTTACATTTAAATGTAATAATATAATTAAAATTTAGTGTGTAAAGTTAGCTCTTCTCATCCCTGGCTGGGGGAGCGCATTCCAAGACCCTCAGTGGTTGCTTGAAGACTAAGAGCCCTATATATACTTTGTTTCTCCTATTTAGTCATTCCTATAATGAAGTTTAATTTATAAATTTGGTATAGGAAGAAGCTAACAGTGATAACTAACAACAAAACATTCCATGATAATAATGAAATATTCCATGATGAATGTTCTTTTTTGACACGCCAGCCCAGTGCATTCTCCCTTGTCCTGTGAGAAGGTGATTGCAATACCTGTGTAACGAGATGGAGGGAGTGAATGACACTAGGCATCAGGAAGCAGTTAGACTACCACACAAATACTACTTGAACACAAGTTTGAGATATGTGTCAATCAGTCTGATAACATGCTTCTAAATGACCACTGGGCAGGCAGTAAACACAGCCTGTACTATACATTACTAAACAGTGAACAGTGGCTACACTTGACAAAAGTATGATTTACAAAAAAAAAAAAAAAAAGGATGTGAGATGTTTCATCATACTACATAGAACAACATACAATTTTAAACTTATTTTTGGGACTGGAGAGATGGCACAGAGGTTAAGAACACTCGCTGTTCTTCCAAAGGTCCTGAGTTCAATTCCCAGCAACCACATGGGGGCTCAGAACCATCTATAGTAAGATCTGGTGTGCAGGCAGAATGGGGCACCCAATGCCCTCTTCTAGACTCTGAGGGCATTTGGACTCACATGTGCACATTCCCAGACACAGATATACACATACACATAATTAAAAGTAAGAAGTGAATCTTTGAAACTTATTATTGGCTTATTTATGGATTTGCCTCATAATATTTTGGCCACAGGTAAATGAAATCAAAGTGTAACTGCCCCAGGGGGTGTGGCATGGGCTTGACTGCATCTGTTGTTGACAAGAGAAAGTTCTTAAATCCAGTGAGCTAATAATGTATAGGGGCAATGGGACTGGAGGGAGAGTCAGGGACAAGCTCGTGGTTGAGAGGGGAGTTTAAGGTGGGACACAGGATGGTATAAGAGGCAGAGTCATGGTTTCCTAAAGATGTCCCAAGTCTTGGAACCTGTGAATATATCGCCTTATGTGCTAGGAAAGATTTGGCAGATATGATTTAGGGACTTGAGATGAGATGATCCCGGATTATCTGTTTGGGCCAGTGTTGTCACAAGGGGCAGGAGAGGCAGAGGTTATGTGATGCTGGAAGCAGAGATGAGAAAAATATAGATGCTACCCTGGACTATGGAAGGAAGGATGGGGGAGCCCCGGAATGTGGCTGGGTGTAGGAGCTTGAAGGAGAAAAAGAGCCTTCTTCTGTGGTGTCCAAACAGGGCTGGTCCTGCCAGCACCTTTATTTTAACCCCGGGAGATCCATTTTAGACTGCAGAACTTTAACATAACTAGCGTGTGCTGTTTGAAGCTCTTATGCTTGTGACAGCTTTCCCTGGTGCAACAGGAGTCTCCCATTACACAGGGTAGGACCCGCAGGTCTGGTGAGCTCAGGGTCCACATGTCTGCCCAGCTCCGCAGTGAGGCTATTAGCCCTGCCCTTGCCCATTCTGACAGGCTGTTCTCCTTCTTCCTCTTGGCAGCTAGTGGAGGTAAACATCACTGTTCTAATTAATCAGTGATTACTCATAGGCCCAAAGAGGCCAAGAAGCAGCCTCTCCTCCCAGTGAGGTTCAGACATCACCTCATACCATATTGGGGAGAGAAAGAGAAGCACAGATCTGGCCTGTAGCTGCAGAAGATTCCATCTGGCAGGACCCAGGTGGAGCAAGTCAGTAGCTGAGGCTACAGGGAACTAGAGGTTTGGGTACTCAAAGCCTATGGAGATAAGAACAGGAATTAGGAAGCTGATGGGTCTAGGGCAAGTGGGATAGTTCATCTAACGCCTTCTGACTCCAGTCCTGATGGCAGCATCTTGCTTCATTAACGAATGAGTGTCTACATGTGCCCAGCTTGGACAAACCAGGGACTCCTACACACACACTAAACACAGACAAACACATCTATGTGTGTGCTTTAGAGACTCTTGAACACCCCCCCCCCCAAAAAAAGGCCCTGGGAAGCCAGGGCATGGACAGTAGCTTACAAGGAGAGTTGGCCCTGCAGTTCAATAAAGAGGAGGGATAGGAACTAAACAGGAAGGCATCCAGATGTATGTAAGAAAAAGCCCAGCTCCCTTCTAGTGGATAAGGTCCAGACCTCAAATGGGTGTCATGCCTTTCTTGAAGTGTTTCATTGCCTACCGGAAAGCAGGTAGACACTTCATAGTTTCTTTCCCACTTTGGAGACGTCACCAGATCTCCAACCCATGCGTCCTCCCTTTTCTGTTGCCAGCCACGTTGTGCCAAAGGCACCAGGGTTCTTCCCCCAAGTGTCAGGAAGTGGTCCTCTTGCTTGGCGTTTCTTAGCTAAACCAAAGCAGCAGTGGCAGGCACGTGTGGGACTTGGTTGGGGTCCTAGCCTACTTGCAGCACGTGGCCCCTCTTGCTCAGACCGCTCTGGCTGTTTTTCTCCTAATATCATTAGCTCTGCCAGAAGCAGGCTAGGGGGTGGTTATGCTGAGCTTGCCATTTCACACAAAGAGGAGAGAAGCAGGAGAAAATGTGCCCCAGGTGACTGAATCCTGCTCACTCCAGAATGGGAGAAATGAGTGTGCTCTCCATTCATGTTTCACAGCAAAAATGCAGTCCTCATCTCTTTCCTTGCTCACTGCTCAGCCCAGGGCCAGCACTGACAACATCTGTAACTCTCTGTTGTTGGGAAGGGGACTGCTGTGTGCTTCTCATCATGGAGCAGAAGCCCTCAGGCCCCCTGTGAAGTGCTTCCTGAAAAGAAGAGGAGGAGGGGGAGGAGGAAGAGGAAAGAGAGTAGGAGGAGGAGAAGGAGGAAGAGAAGGAGACCTTTGACTTGTAAGTGTTCAATACAACCTTAAAATCAGGCAGTCAGGCAGTAGGATCATCCCACTAACCCTTCAGGCAACTGAACATCCTAATAGAATCTCTGATCCCCCTGCTTGAAAGTTTCTCAGCAGATTGCTTCCCAGACCTCTGAGCAGCTCCACCCCTGGGTCATCATGCCATGTCTTTCTTAAAGATCCTATACATGAAAGCAAATTCTGAGGTACAGACCCTTATAGGTGACAGCCAAACCTGTGAATGTTGGGAACACGCAAACAGATGCTTCTAAAATGCCTCAGAGGTACATACCTTTTCCTTCTTGGCGGCCTCCATCCTGGCTCTGTCATCCAGCCTCCTGCAGCCACCAGCCCGGGTGAGCTGGGACCCCTCAGAAGATTTCCAAAGCAAATATCCCAGGCTTCTTCTCCCACAGAGTTACGGCCAGCACCGGGCCTCAGAGAACACAGGCTGGTTGAAGTCACAGTTTCCTCCTTTTCATTGTTCTCTTCAGGAGCCCTCTCTACCAAGGCCTTCTCAGGCCCAGCATTCTCCAGGAGGAGCCATGTGGTTTCAGAGAAAGGTCCTCGGTGTTGATTGACTTCCTTCCAGCGATGCTGAGCTGAGGAATTGGTGGCCTCTAGAAAGACTCAGCAGAGAAGGTCTCTCCCTCCAGTGGCTTGGAGATGGCTTTTGAGTAATGAGGCAACAGGTAACTGTCCCTCACGCCTCAGCTTTCTTCTCTGGGCTCAGGCACAGTTCATGCTTCTGTTCCAACCAGGTGTGGAGTAGATTTCTCCTGCCAGGGCCTCTGTGCTCCTGAGAGGGCCTGTGGTTCCTATGGTGACCATTCTGTCATTAGAGCTACCATGCAGAAAACTGGGACTGATGGCCGAAGGCCTCTACTCCCATCACCATGGTGACCACTTTGTCACCCTGTCACCGCAGTGACTGCCAGCCTGGTAGACATTACCACCTGCTTAGTTCCTAGGTCAGTGCCTTGGTGCCTGTCACACTCACTAAGGAGCAGAGGCCTCTGTGTCTGAGAACCACAAGAAATGAAAAGGCATCTTGGCCACCAGCCTGGCCATGGCACGAGGCCCTGCTAAAGAGCTTCTTGCTGTGTTCCCTTCTTTCCCTGTCTCCTGTTCTAAAACCTGAACTGGAATGGTGGGCCTGAACCAGCCAAGCCCAGCTGGGTCCATACTACTCAAACACAGGCCCATGGGACTGTGTGTGTTTCTACTGCTAGCCCCGGAAGCCTCAGACAGGGTGTAACTCCACTCTCGCTATCACAGCCCAAATGCCCCTAGTGAAGTTGGCCTCTGTGGTGGAAGAGCCCTAGTTGATGGAACTGGAGGCCAGGGTGCTGGCTGAGAGTTCAAGTAGCAGCGGGTCTGGAAGAAAAGGCAGAGTTTCTGACCTTGAACTCTGAGGTCTCATGTGTGATTCACACAGCCTTTCTCAATCAGGGCTGGACTTTTTCAAGCTGTCCTTGTGGTTAGTGGTTGGTGGCTATTTTATTGAATGGGGTGGCTACCAACCCCTGACCTGAGACACTATTGTTCTGAAACTCAACAGTGGGGTGAGCGGGAATGGTAGGTAGATCTTTCTAGATACTGTATTTTGAAATCAGCTTCCATTGACAGTTTCAGTCTATCAGTTTCTGGGAAAGCTGAGATAGAAATCTTGTTATTTTGCCTGAATAAATATGTCTGAGTGTTTTTGTTGATGATGTTTAGAAGCAAACCTCTGGTTCAGAGAGGGTATGCACCTTACATTTTTGGCATCTAGGACCACATGGCCTTTTCAAGTGGGCTTATAGCGCTGTTAATACTTCTGCCAACAGTAGGAGTTTGGCTGCGTTGTAGGCAATCATTGAGCTGACAAATCTTTATGGTTTTTCTTTATCTGTTTTCTCACTGCTGTTCGAACCGTGGAATGTTATCTTCTCATATGCCTATTGATCATTGTGCTTCTTTTTTATTTTTAATTGTGTATGTGAGTGTCAGGGTGTGAGTATGTGCTGTGAGTGCAGGTACCAATGAAGGCCAGAGGTATCAGATCCCCCGGAGCTGGAGTCACAGGTGGTTATGAGATGCCTGACATGGTTGCTGGGAACTGAACTCAGGGCCCCTGGAAGAGCAGTATGTGCTTTTATCCTCTGAGCCATTTCTCCAGGCCCTGTGTTTCTTCTTTTCAAAGTATTTATTAGCAGATGTAATCAGTGTACAAAATAATGGGTTTATAATGGTATGTTTATTCAAGTGTGTCATCTATTTTGACTACACACACACACACAGAGAAAGAGAGAGAGAGAACCACCCTCTCTTCCCTAACTTGCTAGGCCTCTGGATTTCTTCTTTTAAGTATTATATGTTCAATAACTATGTTACTATTGAACTGTTTTCTTACTATCAATTGTGGGAACCATTTTTATATTTCATCTAAAATATCTAGTAATCTTTTGTTTGCCAAGTGTGTTGTATTTCACGGTTTGCTGCTAAAAATTACAACTTGACTAACAGCGTCTCACATCATACAAAAGTCTCCAATTTCATGAGTTCCAATCTCTCATCTGGGGGATTAATGTTTTGCTAAAGAAAGCTTTTTTCCATACCCAAGTTTTAAAACTAAAAATGCTCTTTCACATTTTATTCTAATATTTTATTTTATTTTTTGATTTTTTTTGGAAATTAAAAGATAATTACATCATCTTTCTCTTTCCACCCATCTCGCCAACTCCTTCCATGCCTCCATTCCCATCTAGCTCTCTCTCTCTCTCCTCTCACTCTAATCCATGGCCTTTTTTCTCTGTTATTATTACATACATCTGTATAAATAAATATATAACTACAACCTGGTTAGTATTACTTTGTAAATATGATTTCAGGTCTGACCACTTAGTATGGAATAACCAGTAAGGGGGCTCATAAAAGGAGAATACTAGTTCTCCTGCTCCCAGCATTCCTTAGTTGCCTATGGTTCCTTGTTTGAAGGTGGAGCCCCATGAGATTTCCTCCTTCCTTGTAAGCATGTCTGTCGGTGCTGTACTTGTTCAGGTCTTGTTTAGGCAGCCATGTTGTTGGGTTATTATAAGTGAAGCTTCCTTATCATTTCTAAGAAAAGCAATCTCACAGCAAATGTCCTCTCAAGCTTTTCAAACCACCTATTTTGCAAACACACCAGTCCTTCAGTGGCTATGTTTGGCGTGTCCAGCACTCTGACGGCATTCTGTGAGCTCTGGTTATTCTTCTGACGCTTCTTGCTGCTCTCACAAATGCACAGGCAGCTTCTTGTCCCCAGTGTGAGGCAGGAGCCCTCTGGGCGGCCAGTGTTGGCGTGGTGAGGTCTGGCCTGGCTCAGCAGTAGAGGCCTCTTGACTAGCTCAGGCCTGGGCCAGCCAGGCCTTGGGGATCACTGGCACCCACAGCCCACGGTACCATTTCCTGGTGAGCACTCTTCCTCTGTGAGTGTCGCCGTGGGTGCTGTCAGGCTTGGGTTGGTGTGGAGGCAGAGGTCTGAGGGCAGACCTCATTTTCTTGCCTTTCCTCCATATACTCTTGTTCTGGGGGGGACCCACACCACGGAGGCTGAGGGAAGTCCACGCGGGCTGTGGAGCGGGAGGAACCCCTGCAGGCTCTCCTGCCCGCTCCTCTGTTTTCTCTGAAGCCTCCCTTCACTTCCTGTGCAGTGTTGACCCACAGCCGTCAAGTACCATAGATGAGGTAAGCAAGCTGCCTAAATGACCGTGTATTTCTGGCGTTTGTCCAGTACAGCTAGTCCTCAGCCGGGAAAGGCTGCCTCTAGGCAAATAGAACTTTGGGAAAGCCCCATGTGGGGAAGGCAGTCTGAAAACGCCTGCTTCATTAATCCCAAAAGCTCCCACATGTCCTGACATAGCCAGCGGCAGAGGTAAAATTTCATGGCAGACCGTGTCCATCTTCCCTGTTGCCTAGAGAGCCCAGTGGAAACTGGGACATCTCAGTGAGGGGTTATGGTAGCAATGCTCCTAGGGTTCAGGGTCTGCTGAGGATTTGTATTGGTTATCAAGTATGTGCATAGAGGGTACAGATTTGTACAGGGGATGCAGCTTAGTGGAGGAGACTGGCTTAGAATGAACTAGGCCCTGGGTTCTATCTCTAGCCCTGAAATATATATCCACACACCTAATGCTTGATAACTGGTCTCATGGAAGTCTGACTACTTAGGTAATCCCTTTCTGTGTCTCCTTGATTTCTTAGGGGCTCTGCCGTGTAGCTGGAGGCAGGTAGATGTTTGCTGTATCCACTGCGTGAATTTGGTCATGGACCCTGTTATTGCAAACATATTTGCAAAGGGGCTTTTTAAAAAATTAGGCTCTAGGGCCTGGAGAGGCGGCTCAGAGGTTAAGAGTACTGACTGCTCTTCCAAAGGTCCTGAGTTCAGTTCCCAGCAACCATATGGTGGCTCACAACCATCTAGAATGAGATCTGGTGCTCTCTTCTGGTGTGCAGGTATACATGCTGGCAGAATAATGTATACATAATAAATAAATAAATAAATCTTTAAAAAAAATTAGGCTCTAGAGAGATGACTCAGAGGTTAGGAGCACGAGCTAGCTGCTCTGCAGAGGTTCTGGGTTTGGTTCCCAGCACCTACATGGCAGCTACTAACCATCTGTAACTGTAATCCAGGGAATGTAGCGATCAGATGCCCTCTTCTGGCCTCCATGGGCATCAGGCACACATGTGGTACATGCACATACATGCAGGAATAACACTCATATACATAAAAAATAAACCCTAAAATTTTTGTTATAAATCTATATTATCCAGAATACTATGATGATGTGTTTGTATTCGTGCATGAGTGTGCAGGGGCTGTGCATGCGTGCATGTGAAGGTGAGAGGTTCTCTCCTCCCTGTGTGGGTCCTGAGGATCCAACTCAGGTCTTCAGCCTCTGCGGCAGATGCCTTTCCCCACGGAGCTGTCCCTCCTGCTCTGCAAAAAGGGCTTTTCTTCAACATCTCAGGACTCATGGGGACACTGGACACAAGAATTCCACCGTCCTACGCCAGCGGTGCTGTGTTGTCACTGCAGTGGGCCAGCCTTGCAAGCTTTTCTCTCCAGGTTTCTTGACGCACTACAAGGACGGTGAGGGAATTTCTGGACAGTCTTTCTCTGGCTCCCTTACTGCATTTTCCTTACTGCCTCTGCTTTGTCCTTGGCATTGTGATGTATGACCTTGGTTGTGAACTTGACTGAATCTGGAATGAACCATAACACAAGCTGCCGGGCACTCCCATGAGGGCTTTTCTTGAGCAGGTTAAAGGAAAGCAGGAAGACCCACCTTAAATCTGGGCAGCACCTCTTGGTGTTAATCCACATAGACGGATTTGAAAGGAAATTTTGCTTTTTGCGTACTCGATTTCACTCTCCCTGGCTAGTTTGTCTCCATGGCATTCCTTCACCTATATTAAAACCAACTTTTTAGGGATTCAAATGTAGACCGAAGACCAATCTCTCCAGGACCCTCTTGACTCTTGGTATGAGACTGAGAAAATAGCAGACTCTGCTTCTCCAGTGAGAGACAGCCACTCTTGGACTATTTATGCAGACAGCACCCAGAAGCCAATCTAATGAATCCTCTTTTATTATGTATATGTTCACCTACATACATATATAGACACATATGAATATATACATATATAGATAAACGTATGCATAGATATGCGTACATGTAGGTATATATGCAAAAGAACTCTTCAAGAGTATTATGAATTTGAACATTGAATGTTCAAATGAACATTATGAATGCATAATGTTCATTTATTTCTACTCAGAAAACCAGGGAATTTTCTTATATGGCAGTAACTGAAAGCTGGAAATAAAATCACAGTGCTATATCTAATCTATAGACTTGGCTCAGATATTAGCCTGCTTTAAAATCTCTGCTTCCAGCAGTCTGGAGGTCACCTTCAAATATAATGAGGTTTTTAATTTATTTTTTTTATTTTTTTTGTCAGTGAACATAACGATGCAAATAAGCGTCATTCTGTGCTACAACAGGAGGGCTTGGAGTGGGATACTTTGTCGTTTTTAGCAACGTGCCTACGAAAATATGCCTATTTTTCAAGTGTAACAGATGGAGAGGGGAGAAGCCTCCCTTTGGTGGTGCAGAAGTCCGGGGGCTAAATTCAAGTTCGGTGATAGCTGGAGAAATGGAGTGGAAGACAAGTATCCTCTGCAACAGATTAACAAGCGTGGCTTGGGGAGTTTGCTTGTGACCAGGTGAGACTTCCTGGGGCCAAAGCGAGTAAGAGGCAGAGAAGAGCGCTAAGAGGTACCGAGAGTGGCTGTGCGGGAGTTTGTTGAGCACTTGAGTGTTCACGTTTGAACCCCAAGCTCTGCCTCTTACTAACAATATTCTTAATCCACATCTCTTTCTGCCAGGTGACCTCCACCCACTCACTGTCCTGGTCATTTTGTACAACTTTGAGTGAGGCGATTTTCTTCAGGAATGGTTCTCACCTGCCGCCTGTAGAGCCACCGTGTCAGAGCAGGTGAATGGGGCCGAGTGACAGCACCTGGCCGCTTGGCTCGTCAAACAAGTGCACCCCGTCAACGGTTGCTGGGCCTGGCCACGGCCAGTGCTGTTTCTGGTGGTTATTACCGCAGGGGAACTGACTGAGGACCTTTCTTTTAGTCGTCTGTTCTTGGGATACCCAGGGAGGAGGGCTGGTTAGCCTGGTGGTGCTGTTATGGGAGAGGTAGAGCGAAGGGGCGGGTATGGGTTGCTGTTCTAGCTGGATGGGGAGGTAGAGGCGACGGTACGGCACTGCACTGTCGAGGACCGTCAGCCGCGGTCCACGCGACAGCCCGGAAGACAGCACACGCCTAAGCGCTGCCTCGCAGCCCAAGACCGCCTCGCGACGCCGACCCGGAGTGACGCGGCGGCGTCCCGCCTCTTATAGGCCCGCAGGCGCATGCGCAATCCTCCGGTGAGCGTCGGGAGCAACCCTCCACCGGAACCGGAAGTGGACCCCGAGCTAGGAGGAAGAAGCCGGCGCGGCCCCGTCAGCAGCCGGCCGCGGCTGTTTGAGGGACTGCGGCCGCGCTCCTGCGAGCGGGTCTAGGGGCAGCCGGCGGCCCGAGGGTGCGTCGCCATGAAGCTGTACAGCCTTAGCGTCCTTTACAAAAAAGACCCGAGAGCGGTGCTGCTCAAAGCCGCGTACGACGTGTCTTCCTTTAGTTTCTTCCAGAGGTCCAGGTGAGTGGGCCGGGCCGGGGTGGCTAGACCTGGAGGCCTGGAGTCGGGGTTGGGGCCGGGAGCGTGGGCAGTCAAGCCTCGGCCGCGGGCTGTGCCTGAGGAGCCATCAGCATCCCTGGCAAAGGGCTCTGCCCTCCCACAGTGTTGTCCTGTTGTAGAAAGGTTAGAAGAGCGCTTGAAGACCGTGCGGGTTACCAGGCACGCTACCCAGTCAGTGTTCGAACCAGAAATAAGGATTTTGACGACCGCCTCGCACCCAGTGATTTAACCAGCGTTTGGTATCATCGTATTTCGTCAAAGCCAATGGTTCTCACCTTCCTAGTGCTGCGACCCTTTAGTACAGTTCCTCATGTTGGGGTGACCCCCAACCCTTAATTTATTTTTGTTGCCACTTCATACCTGTAATTTTGCCACTGTTATGAATAGTAATGTAAATATTTTTGGAGCTAGAGGGTTGCCGAAGGAGTTGTGACCCACAGTTTGAGACTCGCCGGTCAAAACTCTTGCCAGCAATTCCCTATGAGATGTATGGAGGCATTCCTTTTATGAGTGAAGCCACTAATTCCTCGAGGATTGGGCGTGGGGCGCAGCTATAAGTCAAACTTACTCTGTTTCTTAGTGTTTGGTTGGAAGGAACCACTGAAATTGTAGTGCTTCTAGGCCTTTAAAGGGTTTGGGTGTGCTTTAATTTTAAGTGCCACAGACACCCAGTTTTGTGGGAGTGGGCAGACTGACTCAGACACAAAAGGAGAAGGACCCAACAGGGTAGGATCTGTGGCCATCTTGCCTCAAAGTTTGGGGGGGTGGGACTCTGCCTTTTCGGGTTCTGTCTCTGATTTTGACCAATCTAAAGACTTCTTATAAGTGTTCTCATAGAGTATTTGTCATTTTATGTCTTGCTGATTTTACTGCTATAGCAGACTAGCCCAAAAGTTCATCCATGTTGCTGCAGAAATCAAACTTTTCTTCCTTTTAAAATCTGTACATCATTTCTGTGTAAGCACTTTGCTTACGAATCCATCTGTTGATGGACATGAGTTTGCTGCACAGTGTAGCTATGAGAACAGTGCTTTCAGGGGGTTGGAAGGTAGCTTGAGCTCGGGAGATAGCTCATTGGGGAAAGTGCTTGCTGCATGACGGCCTGAGTTTGATCCCAAATACTCATGTTAAAAAAAAAAAGAGAGCGAGACAAGATGATGGGGGTCAGGGCGTGATGACTGGCACTCTGGCCTAGCCTACTCTGAGAGTTCCAAACCAGCCTCATTCCAAAAACCAAGGTGGACGGCTCCTGAGGCATGACTCCGTATGTGTACCTGGGCCTGCACACGGATGTGTCCCCACGTGGATACATACGAACCAAAGACCCAGCATACAATTTTCTGTGGTATAGATTTCCAGAAGGTGGAATTGTGTCATCTTTTGGCTCCTTCTAGTTCTTCCTGCTACTCTGCGTTATGTGCCCTGGCCTCTGTTCTCTGCTTCACGTTGTTTTTCTCTGATGGAACCTTTAATGCCAACTTGGCTGTGGATCTTTTAATTTTTTTTTTTCCTCTTTCTGTTTCTACAGAAGGTTCTCAGAGCTTTCACTGTACCACTGTCTCATTTGCTGGCATCCTTACGTTAGCTAGATCAGATGACTAGCAGTGACATAAAGAGACACATGTGCCTGTTGAGTGAGACCCCTCATTTTTTTCTTTCATGTCACTGTGATTGCTGAAGTCTTTGAGTAGTCTCTCACAATTATTGTACTTCTTCCTAATTACATGACAGTAATTGTGCTCTAGATATCATTAGTTTTATTGCAAAGGCTTTCGTTAGGATTTTTTTTTTAAAGAATATTTTTGTAGTTGTTTTCACCATGTCATTCCCTCATGATAATACCACTTGTATATTGTGTACCAGGCAAAGTTTCAAGTGCTTTGTGTAATTAACTCATTTTAATTATCACACCAGTCTTGATTTTTCTACTGAGGCCGGCACAGAAATTTGCCTTCAGATAGTGTAGTTAAGTATCCTGTACTGCCAGATAGTGCGTGTTAATCCCAGCACTTGGGAGGCAGAGGCAGGTGGATCTCTCAGCCTGATCTGTGTAAGAGTTCTAGGACAGCCAGGGCTTCATAGACCCTGTCCCAAAAAACAAACAACTCTGCACTGATGGCCCTGGGTGCCCTTTCTTATCTATCTTCAGTTGAAGGTTTCTTATCTGTCCTCTGGCTGAACATCTCCTGAAATTCTTCCATTCTGGCCAATGAAATTCTTCCATTCTCTCTTTGGGCCCATGATGAACCTCTCCAGCAGCTTTACATGAGCTACTCTGTCTTCTTACCTCACTAAGCTCTTTCTTTACATTTCCTCCACAGTGTCTGGGGCTTCGGTAGATGTTTGCTAGCTCTCACTGGAGGGAAGTGGCAGGCACTTCTAGCCAGCATCTGTCCTGTGGCCACTAACTGGTGTGCCTCTTCTACCTGTCAGTTTTTGCCACTAGTCCTTTTCTAGAGCAGTTTATATTTATCCCGCTTCTTGGAAATTAGCACAGGAGCTGCTTTCTGCTTTGACATGTTGGCTTTAAAAAAATGCAATCACATTTTTATTTCTGTGTGTTTTATTTTGAGTGTGTAGATGTGAATGCATCATGGCATGCTCTGGAGGCGAGAGAACAACTTGTGGAGTCATCTCTCTCCTTCACCGTGTGGGTTCCAGGGATCGAACTCAGGTTGTCAGGCTTGACAGTAGGTGTTTTTAGCCAAAGAGCCATCTCACTGGAACCTGAATCATGTTTTGATCGAAATGTTAAACTGACTATAGCCTAAAGACTTCTCAGACATCTGGAAGTGGGTTGTTCTATTGGCCACTTGGTCCATGGATAGGACTTGAATGGTGGTGTATCCATTTTTGTTCATTTACAGTGTGTTTATCAGTTTGTTAGGAGGGAATAAAATACAACCAAGAGGCAATGTCTCCTTAACTTAGACCCTCAGAGGTCACTTTCCATTGTGTCGGGGAGTGTGACTGAAAGAAGGTTATATATGTGTGTTGTATTTCCTAGTGTTCAAGAATTTATGACCTTTACAAGTCAACTGATTGTGGAACGCTCAGCAGTAGGCAGCAGAGCTTCTGTCAAGGAACAAGGTAAGAGTGCTGGCCTGGCTGTTACACCTTAGCATACGGGGCTGCCTGTGCCACGTCATTGCTCCCAGGACCATGATCTTCCGCTACACCATTTCCTCTCCTTGTTTCTCCTATTTATACAGCATTCTAAACTGAGTGTTGAAGCCCAAGCTTACTGTACAACACTTGCTGTGCAGCTGCACTTAATACAGCTTGCACTCACTAAAGGTAGACCCTGACTCTCCCCTTGAGCTGGCCTGACAGGCTGAGAAGTGATAGGCACTGATTCTCCTGGCCATGCGCAGCCTTCCCATTCTGCTTTTCCTCCCAGAGTTGCAGATGGCTTCAAAAGATGATTTGAGGTAATACTGTGTTCTGTGTCCTTAAGTTTGTTTTTTTATTTTGAGCAGGATCTTTCCTCTATTTCATAATTCGGGTTTTGGATATCAGTTTTGGGCATTTGTTTTAGACGCGTACATTTAACAGACAAAATTGAAGTTACATGAATTTCATCAGGCATAAACAAGGACCTCACCTAGGCAGTGGCCCCAGGATAGAGTTCCTGATGACAGGGTCACAGGTCAGCGGTACCGATTGTATTCTCTATGAAGAATACCTTGCTGTGACTACCACAGAAGTGAAAAGGACTTGTGACTCTATCATGTTGTCTCCTTCACACTGTCTACCTTTCACAGTTTTGTTACTTAAGGATTATTCCTCACATTGGCAAGCTTCTCAGTTTCTATGGAAACTGACTCCGTGTTTGGCTCTTATTTGGGAATGTATACAAAATAAGATGGTAATTCTCCATCCTACCTCCTCTCTGTTCTTGTTGAACACCTCTCTGATTCCAGAGACTTATAATCTTTCCTCTTTCGTTTTCTTTCTGTTTAACATTGGAATCTCTGGGTCTGATTTTTAAAACAAGAGGGTTCTTATTTGTAAGCCCTCATTCTAGTTTCTCTTATTTCGGGAATGTGGTTAGCCATGCCATCTCTGAATCCTTTCAGAGTGATGAAAATCAACAATCCTATGGATTATGATTATTTTGCAGAGGGCTTTCTGCAAACCATACCCTTTAATCATGCAACAGCTTTAGTGAAATAACACTAGAGACCTCAGCCAGGAGTGGCTAGTTTTTTCTAGACAGTTCCTCCCAGCCACCCACCACAGGCTGAAGTAGGTCAAGCCATGTTGTTTTACTACAGGAGATTGAAACCCTGGGAGGTAATTTTCTGCTTCTCAGGTACTCTGAAAAGAGTATTTTAAGAAAGTAGAAGCAGTTTGTCTTGTCTGCTGTTCTCTGGATTTAGGAGCAGCACAGAGCCTTAGAGGGCCATAAATTGCCAAGATAGATCTGGCCTGAGCTAAAGGCAGTGATCAGGAATTGCTCCTGGGGCCATTGCCTCTGGTGTGGTTTCCACCCGGGCAGCTCATTTTGATCTTGTTACACACATAGTGTCAGGAAAGCTAGGGTATTAGTCAGAGCTCCTGGGTGGGCCCGTAGACCTTTGGTAATGAGCCTTCTGTAGACCTCACTCAGAGCAGTTGCATTTCAAAGTGGTTTCAGAATGGCTTTGTTTGAACTATAAATCATCATTATTATTATGTATTGGCAGATTCAGAGCAGTCTGAAGCCCTCATTTCAGTAGCCACTCATGAGATCATTTGTCTCCTTAGAGTATCTTTGCCATGTCTACGTCCGGAGCGACAGTCTGGCGGGTGTGGTCATTGCTGACAGCGAATACCCTTCCAGAGTGGCCTTTACATTGCTGGAGAAGGTGAGTGTGTTGTTAGACTAGGATGACAAGTGTGAAACATGGTAGATTCAGTGCCTGAAACACAGGGATGATTGGTCCAGAGGCCACATTTTCAGCCATCGCCTCCACCCAAACAGGAGACATTTGAAATCCCTGCCTATATATTTCCCCCTTGGTGCTGCCTCTGCCCTTCATGTGACCTGTATTTTTGCCACTATGTTGCATTACCTCTCCTCTGGAAAAGGGCCACCACTGCCACCCTCTCCCCTGTGCTTTTGCTGAAGGTTCCTTGTTCTCTTCCTGTTGCTCCTGCAGGCAATGACTATAGCTCTCTCCCTTAGGGTAGGCCAATGGCTTCATGGAGTTTGTTTGTTTGTTTGTTTGTTTGTTTGTTTGTTTGTTTTTGAGACAGGGTCTTACTGTGTAGCCTTGTTTGGCCTGAACTCATAATGTAGACGAGGTTGTCCTCAAACTCAGAATTTCACCTGTCTCTGTCTCCTGAGTACTAAGATTAAAGGTGTGTTACACCACACCAATTCCTACCCACTCTATGGAGTTTAGTGCCTGGTGAGTGTTAATTATAAATCCTGAGACAGAGGCTGCTGCCTTGTCATATCCTCATAGCACTGAAGCACTTCTAGGTACATCCCAGGTACCAGCTTACATTCTCTTTTTTTTTTTTTTTCTTTTCTTCTTCAAGACGGGGCTTTTCTGTCTTGGTTGTCCTGGAACTTGTTCTAAACACCAGGCTGGCCTAAAACTCAGAGATTTACTTGCTTCTGCCTTCTGAGTGCTGGGATTAAAGGCTCCGCCACTATAGCCAGCAAGCTTACTTTCTTGAAGAGTTACTTTGGAAAACTTGAGGGCTAGTGTGAACTAGCTGAAGTTTACCCCTTACTTAGGATATGTTTTAATCATAAACATTTTGAAAAGAGCTGAACCTAGACTCTTGTTCCCTTGCCATTAGATGTCCTTGTGCCCTGGGGAGCCCACAGCTTCATTTGGGAGGAGTGCTGTGGTGAAGCTGTCTCTTCGAAGGTTCTGGTGAGCCGGGTGGAGGATAATGTTGAGTCTCCTTTGTTTTGCAGGTACTAGATGAGTTTTCCAAGGAGGTCGACAGGAAAGACTGGTCAGTAGGCTCCCCTGATACAATCCAGTACAAAGCCCTGGATGTTCATCTTAGTAGATACCAGGTGAGTTTACAGAAATGTCCTCTAGAGACTGGCACAGAAGCTATGGGATCTGGAAAAGGTCAGTAACCATGATAGCTTAATCCTTTGTTTGAAAAACACAGAGAAGTTCTTTCAGACGCATAACTCTAGTTCTGAGCAGGCTTTTGAGTTTTTTTGTTTTGTGCCTTTTCATTGTGAGAATTGGTTCAGTTTATAGGTATGTACTCCAGTCTTAACTTTGATTTTGTTTTGCTCTTCCTAGAACCCCAGAGAAGCTGATCCAATGAGTAAAGTACAGGCTGAACTGGACGAGACCAAAATCATTCTGGTAAGCAGGAAGGTGGAGAGCAGATGTGAGAACCAGTGGACAGAAGGATGGGCCACTGACCAAACACACAGAGTCCATTCATATTTTAATGATAGTCACAGCATGCTCCAGGGAGTGGTGATTGCCACTCCGCCAGCTTCATCACTCTCCTGTGTGTACCCATCTTAGTTCACAGCACCCTCTGCTTGGAAGGGATGAGGCTGGGGTCAGTGTGGCCCTAGTGCATGCTGTCAGTGAGCTACATTCCTACCCTTCAGCTAATGTTACATCAATTGCTCAGCTGTGTGCAGGAGCAAAGGACAATTTGGCTAGTTCCTCAATTGGTACCACTCACAGTGTAAAGCTGGCGGGCAGTGGCTGTCTGGGGAAACACACGAGCTGCTCTTCATTGTGCTTTTCATTAGCCTTCTAGTCCTCAAGGAAGGACTAACTGCTCTTCTGAGAGCTTCCATCTCTGTGCTGTTTCCCCAAGGCAGAGATTGTAGTGTTGACAGTCTCAGGGGCAGGTGCTTCCTCTCATGGTGCTTTGAGTAGGCATGTAATCTATTGCATATATGGTTTGTCTGTGTAACTCTGAATTTTGAAGGAGCCATATTTTTAAATGACAAAAGGAAAGTAGTCGAGACTTAGTGTTAATTACTTAAGCTAGAATATCCAAGTATCTTTCCACCATGTCTTTAGTATAAAAAAGTCACTAATATAGTATTTCTTTTTATAATTTTTTATTTTATATGTAAGGGTGTTTTTGCTTGCATGTTGCATCCGGGCACTCCATTTGGGCAGTGCCCTCAGATGCAGAAGAAGGCATTGGATCTCCTGGGACTGCAGTTAGAAATGATTGTGAACTGCTGTGGGTGCTGGGAATTGAAATTAGGTCCTCTGGGAGAGCAGCCAGTGTACTTAACCACTGAGCCGTCTCTCCAGTTACACTAATAAAGGATTTTGCATACTGAGACTGAGTCTCTGAAATGTATTGTTTTTGCACCTGAAGTACATATTAGGACTTGTCTCATGTCAAGTGCTTGTTAGCTCTGTGGCTCCTTGGTCAGATGACACAGCTTTCTCACTATATTAGTTTCCTGGGGCTGGAGAGATGGTTCAGCGGTTAAGAGCACTGGCTGCTCTTCCAAAGGAACTGAGTTCAAACCCCAACAACCACAGTCATCTAAGATCTGGTGTCCTCTTTTGGTGAGCAGGTGTGCATGCAGACAGAACACTGTATACAGAAATAAATAAATCTTGACCAAAAAGAAAGAGAAGAAAGAAGGAAGGAGGGAGGGAGGGAGGAAGAAAGGAAGGAAGGAAAAGAAAGAAAGAGAAAGAAAGACAGACAGACTATATTAGTTTCCTGTGGCTGCTAAGAAATAGCCAAAAACTGTATGACTCCAAACAACAGAAATGTTTTCTCTCCTAGGAGGAGGCTGGGAGTTTGAATTGAAGCTTGGTCTAGGACATGTGAATACTGTCTGTTCCAGGCCTTTCTCTGGTTTCTGGTAGTTCTGATAGTTGCTGGTCATTTCTCCTGTGTTATCACATGGCCTTCTCTGTGTGTCTACATGTCTAGTTATGGAATTAGGGCCACCCTAATCTAATATTACCACTTCTTAAACTGATGAGACTTACAAAGACCTTATTTCCAAATAAGGTTGCATTTAGAGGTTCTGGATGGATGTGAATATTGGCTAGGCCACTGTCCATTCTAGTGCAATCATGTAGTACTCATATACATCCTTCTCTTCACACAGAAACCTCTCTGCACACAGGTATGAATACAAACATGCTTTCTTAGAGCAGTGCTCATCTCAGTCTGTGCTGGGAGAGTATTGAGAAGCCACCAGAGCCTGTGCTGTTGACTTGACTGGGGCATCTTCTGGGACTGGGCCCAGTGCTTGTTGTGTTCTGGGTAGAAGCCCAGAGGAGGTACTTGTAGCCATTGAACTTCCGTAAGGGCCTATTGTCAGCAGCCACTTACTGCATGGAGCCAAGAGCTTTTTTCTCTTTTGTCTAGCATAACACCATGGAGTCTTTATTAGAGCGAGGCGAGAAGCTTGATGACTTGGTATCCAAATCAGAAGTACTGGGAACACAGTCAAAAGCCTTCTATAAAACTGTGAGTAGTTCCGCCTGGCCCTCTGGGTATGCCCTCTCACAGAGCTGTTGCAGCTTGTTTCTGTGGCACTCTCTATTAGGCCTGGACCTTTATTTAGCCAACATTCGATCTGGGGACCACTCCTTGGGATATGAGAACCTAAAGCAAGTGCTTCAGCCCCAGTGATTAGCAACATACACTCAGGCATTTTGCTGCTTGACTAAGACCATGCCTGGTTGGTTTCTGAGCCAGCAATCCCTTCCTGTATTGATTCCAGATTTGGTCACCAGGGTTTTTCTGATTCCTCTGATGGCAGAGCAGTTGGGCATAAGTCCTTAAGCTGCCAGCAGCTCACCTCTCTAAGGTGGGTCTTAGTTCTCTAATGCATTTCTTTTTCATTGGCAAGATACCTCCTGCCTGTTTCTTTCCAGGCATTACTTAAATTTCCACTTGTGAACATTCTCTTGTTTTGTTTAATGTATATGGGTATTTTGCCTGTATATATGTATGTGTACATCATAAATGTCAGAAGAGGACAGAGAATTCCTTGAAACTGGAGTTACAGGTGGTTGTGAGCTGCCATGTGGGTGCTGGGCATTGAACCCAAGTCCTCTAGAAAAACAGCCAGTGTTCTTAACTGCCGAGCCATCTCCTTAGCCCCAACGTTGTGCTCTGCCCATGCATATTTACGTTCTGTTGCATATGGGAGGTAGATGACCAGGTGGGGTTAGAAGGGTGGCCTTTGACCTAAAAGCAAGAGCAGTACCCAGCAAGCAGAAGCAGAGCCATGGTTCTTGACTCAGGGTAGTCTGAGAGCACTGCTGAAATACTCAGCCAATCTAGTGTTCATTATTGTGTCTTTTACTTATTCGTGGCCTGACACCAGGAACCTTATCAGTTTATTGAAAACATTAGTGGGTGTGAAAAACATAAGGAACCCAGACTAGATAGTGGAGGCAATGTCACTGTGGGCAGCTTTCTTTGAAGCCTAGAGGGCCATCCCATTCTCTTGTCCACTTGCTTCACACTCTCTTGCCCTTCTCAGCACCCTTTGGACCTCCAGCCCTCCTTGGCATTCTTCAGCCTCTCTTTTCCTCCCCTTTCAAGGCCCGGAAACAAAACTCGTGCTGTGCAATCATGTGATGTAGCCCACAGAGGCAGGCGCTGGATCGTCACGTCACATCAGAACTACAGCCCTAGCGATGAAGCGATGTCCTAGAAGAGGACCTGAAGCCAGGCAGACTGGCTGTTTTTATTTTGAAGTTCCCAAGAGGAATGGAGGAATCATTTAAGGATGGGAACATTGAAGTTCATATGTGTGGTTGTGACTTTGGGAAAGAATTTGAGGTCCTCAAAGATGTAATGTGGGAAAATGAAAACATAAACTCTAAGTGGCTCTTATAGGTGCTGAAGGGCTTATTCTCAGCTAACCTGGAAGGCTCTATGGGAGGGAATCTTTTTCCTGATCGTTGGTACGACTTAAAATTTCATTTGTGCATTAACAATTTAACTCTCCAGTGAATGGGGTGGGGGTGGGTTTAGGGTGATGGGGCTAGGGTAGGCAGAGTTTGAACACTCCAGAATTCTACTGCCTTTTGCACCATAGGGGTTGGGAGAAGGTCACTATGGCCAGTAAAAGGCAGTGGTCTCACCTGTTTAACTTGCCTATGTGCTAGGGTTGGCATCTGCCAGGGACAGGGCCCATCCTAAGTACCTTCATCCAGTACTACAAGACCCCTTGTGGGAGGCACTTAGAATAGGCCGAGAGGGGCAAGGTGTGTAAGTTGTGGTTTTTATCAGACAGCAAACTGCATTCGGCCTAGGGCTGTTCTGCTGTTGGGTGGTTAGCTGGGAGGGTCCCATCTTCAGGCAAAGCAGCAGACATAGGTGCCTTCGGCACACTCACCTGACTTGCAGTTGGATTTTGAACATCAAGATCAAAGTAGTGTGTGCCATCATTTCTCGAAGCTGATTTGTCTCTGTGTCTACAAGACTGTTTTGGCAACTGCTTGGGGCCTGAATGTTGGAACAAGTCATTCCTGTGGGTACCAGGACAGGTGCCAGCAGCCCAAAGATTCCCAGCACCCACCTGTGGTCCAGTTACGGCCTACAAGCCTCTTCTTAGAGACAGCTGCAGGGGAGAGGATGTTGAGGGCCTGGTCTGAGCTGGTGCCCACTGCCAGCACAGCCCAGGATGTGCTAGGTCCCACATTGCCTCTTCATGTTTTGCTGTGCACAAAGTATATCTGAGAGGTCCTGTCCCCAAACCCACTGCTGGGCTGCTGGCTTCTGAGTTTTAAGCCAGCGCTGTCTTACTCTGATGATCCCTGCCCTGAGCTTGCTGAGCTGCCCTCAGAGTGCCCATATGGGGAGGAGGTCTACTGTGGCTTCCAGCGTCCCCATTGGTTGGTGTACCTGCCTATCTCACTGGATAGTGCTAGCCAAAGGGCTCAGGCTACCCTCTGGAGTGGCCTGCCCATGAAACGTTCCTCCTGCCACAGACCTCTCCAGCCCAGGGCCCCTGGACAGCACAGATCCATTCTGTTGCACTTGAGGTGGAATAATGGCCTGGGTGCTGCCTGCTTTTCTTGTTGCTCTGGAGGGTGCTGGGGAAGAGTAGAAATGGGTGGAGGTAGAAGTTCATGGGGAAAAGATACCTTCACCCACATATGGCTGTCTACACGGTTTCACTTGCCCTGCAATGGATAGTTGCTGTGTTTCCTGTTCCCCCATTATATTCTAATGTTAAATCACTTGTTGAGAGTGTATTTTAATAATGCCTAATTTCTCTATGTTCTGTTTGAAGGTTTCTGTCAAAATAAAATTGTCTTTTGAAATTCTAGTATTGTCCTGTGTTTACTTTTAGCTTCAGGGAAACCTCTGTCCCTCAAACCCAGCCACTGAGGGGTGGGAGAGACCGGATTCTTTGTTTCTGCAGGTACTCTGGTCCTGTCCTGGATAACCCTCTGGACCTTTCTGGTAGGAATTGTATTTCCTTTTTTGCTGTTTAGCAGGTGAGGGAGCCTTGCCATCTTAGAACCCAGTTCTCTATACACCCGACAACTTGCCTGGGTGAGCTGCCTCTTAGCAGTAGAGCCCGGGGAGGAGGCCAAACCACCTAGCCTCCCACCATGCTCAGGAAGCGTCCAAGGGCTTGTGGGGACTGCTTACTCCTGAGGAGCACAGCTAACTTGTGAGGGTTGGCATGGGAACAGTCAAATCTGGAGTATGGTTTTGAGTTTGAAGTAGCCTCAGTAGCTAACAGTTTATGGTCTGAGACCTCTGCAGCCTCTGCCCTCAGGAGGTCAGCTAGGCCTCGCAGCCTGTCCTTGGTGGCCAAGACCCCTCTGCCTGGCCTGGGCTAGCAGCCCCGGCTTCAGTGTGCCACCTTTTCCTGATCTGTGGACCTGGTCATGTTTAGCATAACTGACCCATGATAGGGTGACGTGCCTAAGGAGCTTTGTTCAAAGTAAGCACTGTTTAAAAACGGATGAAGCGTTCAGCAAGAGTGCCCCTCTTGCTTATTCTTGGCTTCATACCAGATGGTTAACCCTGGTACTGCACCCTGAAACCCCTGGCAGTGTTGCCCTGCTGTCTAACACCCACAGAAAGGCTTCAGGAATAATGCATGGTGGAGGCTCAGGCTCTGCAGCATGTTGCCTTCCTTGGGGAGGCCTGGCCTGGAAACGCTCCTCCGATTACAGCTGATAGGTGACTGGAACCCTAGATAGAGGGCCCATTGCTGCTGCACCTGTGGGCGCTGGCCTAGATTCTTGTATTCGCTCTCAGACTTAACCTACTGCCTGCTCTTGGAGTCTCGTTGGTCTTGGTTAAGATCCTGGGCTTGAGCTCCAGGTTGGCCTCTCTGTGAAGCCTTCTGATCCCCCCCACCACCCCCCCGTGGTGGCAACCTAATATAAATGCTGTCCTGTGCTATATTCCTGTGTAACCCATGATGCTGAATACATGACCATGTCTAGAACAGTCAATACATCAAATAGGAAGCCGGGAAAAGGGCTCAAGGATGCTTAGATTTTGGACCTGGGCTCTTCCTGGTGCAGTGGCCACCCTTTCTGGAGACCACCCTTCTGGCTACTGGAATGACAGGCAAGGCTGGAGCTGTGGGGCTAGAGGGATGAAGAAAAGGCCCCACTGATCACCCCAAAGGCACTTAGGTCCCCATATCCTTCTACTCTCACCAGCAGGGGAGGGTCCTAAGCCACGCCTGGGCCAGGGAGCGGATGGGTCTGTACTATGCGGCAGAGCATTGGCAGGGTCCCGGCATAAAGCACTCAGCTGTACTAGAAGCAATTTGTCCTTTTTTTTTTTTTTTTTTTTTTTTTATTTGCAGTTTCCCGAGACAGAACAAAATAAGAATAATTTTTGTACACCTACAAGGCTCAGAAAGAAAAGACAATGGAACTCAGCAAAAAGAGAAGAGGGAGGGCCACCAGCACTGCGGGCACCGCTGCAGCACTGGCCAGCGGTCGGCGCCACCGCCTGCGAACACCTAGCCAGCAGAGCAGGCTGACCTGCTCTTTAGAGGGTCATGCAAAAGAATTGTCCCCCAGAAAAAAAAAAAAACCCAAATTATCCCAGACAGGCAGCTTTGTGGAAATAACAAGGTGGGTGGGAGAGGAAAGGAGACCCCAGGATGCCAGGGTGGCTGGCCACAGGGCCTCACGCTGTCCGTGGCAAGCCCTGCCACTGTTCTGTGGCCTTGGGCCACTGAAGTGGAGCCTGGCAGATGTTTACCCTGTGTCCATGGGTAGAGGACAGCTGTCCTGGGCACAGTGTGGATGAAAGGTGGTATCCACTGAGTGTCTGTAAGTAGACAGTCCCCTTTGAGTTTAGGATCCTGTGTCCCGTTCCCCACTTCGTGCCCCTCCCTTGGCTTGATTTGTAGTAGAAGATAAAAGAAAATCCTGGTTGAAAGTGATGTGAATTTAGAGTGGGCCGCCACGGACCTCTGCAATCAAAGCTCCTGACCACCCCCACCCAACCCAGCTTCATACCTGTCTCCCTAGCCCGATGCTGCAACATTTCCAGCCTCGCTGATTCCCTCCATCACCAAGGGCCAGGGCCACCCACAGCGAGCTCAGGCAGCCGGCACCTAGCAGCTCCACTGGGCCCTGGAGGTGGCACGCTATCCTGATGGACCCTCCCTCCACCCACTGGTATCCAGGCCCCACACCTATATATCTCTGCCCCCAGCCTGCCTTCTCTCTAGGCTGTGTCTCTGGCCTACCTGCAAGGGCCTCCACACAACACAGCCCTAACCAATTTTGGCCTTCCATGGGCCCCTAGCTGGCTCATGCTCTAGGCCCAGGTTAGGAAAGCGCTTCTACTCCATCAAACACCTGTATGGACCTGCACTGCCCAGGAGCCTAAAACACATCTTCTGGCCCCTCTTTACCACTTTCTGCAACATTCAACCAAGTCTTGAGCACCCAGACTCCAAGCTCAGTGGGCAAACACCCTAGATGCAGCCTGGCCCGTTCCCAGCATCCGTCCAGCATTTCACGTCCTCAGTCCTCCGTAGGGTCTACTGCCAACTTCGAAGAAAGGAACTGCCCAGGCCAGGGGTGGGCCTCTGCTGCTCAGCTGCTGGTGGCAGGGGAAGGGACAAGTGCCCCAAACAGGAAGGAGGCCAATCCTCCAGCCCAGTCCTCTCTTCACAGCAAGATGGGTAGGCACTGCGGCCAGCATGCCTTCTTAACCAGCCCTTGCCAGGCAAGAGGCCCGGAGGCAAGGTATGTACCTCCATACCTCACTCCCCAAAGAAGCCCAAGTGGGGAGCCCAGGTCCTTCTCTGACAACCTTGAGGAGAAGCTTCTCCCACACACTCCTTGGGGCAAAGGTAGGTCCTTGGCTAGAGGAGCACCCACCCAGCCCTTCACAGGATGAGGGACGGTAGGGGGAAGCAGGAACAGCAGCAACTCTCAGGCACAACTAGCAGGAAAGGAGGCAGCCCCCAGCCCTTCCCAAGACACCTGACGCCACAACAGCCAGGTTAGCACACGTGGGGCCCATGCATGGGAGGGAGGGTGCGGACGCCCGACGTGCGGGTGAGTGCGGTACCTAGAGACTAACACGGTCAGCATGGGCACATTCACGCCCTGAGGATCCCCAAAGCCAGGAGCGCAACAGATACACGTGGAGCTTGGGTGGGGGTGTGGCCCCACGAACGCCAGATTTTTACAGCTTTTTTCCTTTCTTTAGGTTTGTTTGTTTTTTTTCCCATTTCATCCGATGCCAATTTTTTTTTTTTTTTTTTTTTTGCATGTGGTTGTCGTTGTCATCATCTTATTTTTTTAAAAACAAATCTCATCTGGTCTTGTTTTTGTTTTGTTTTGTTTTTTCTGCAGACACAGGCACCAGGGGAGGGGACGAGGCAGACACAAACATGCGACAGGCAGGCCGTGCGCCCGAGGGCGGCTGGGCTCCAAACACCAACTCTGTCCGGTGAAACCAGGCGCAGCTCTGAAACAGGGGGCAGGTCACCTTCCTCAGCACACCGTACCCAGCCTAGGGACCCCCGCCTTTGCTATCTGGGAAGGGTCCTGGCAGGAAGCCAGCAAGTTTATGTCATTTCAGGAAAAAGCCTGCCAGGGGAGGTAGCTGTGCCCCGGCCCGTTACCCAAGCAGCACCCCCCCCCCCCGCCCCCCGCCACGGGCGCTAATAGTTATGAGCAGAGTTCAGGACCCACCCTGGTCCCTGACCCCATCTCTGACCCACCAAGCTCTGGCTTGTCGCAGCAGTTCCGGCCTCATCGGCTCACCCCTCGGGGGTATCCCCAGGTACTCACCTCACTGCAGTGGGGCCACTGGAGCGCCCGAGCAGTGGAAATGTACATTCTGCCATTTGCCATCGCGACGGTGCCACACGCGGGTCTCTTCAGACTGGCTGGTGCGGGGTCTGCCCTGGCCGTCGATGTACTGTGTGAGGCGGATGTAGGCGATGCATGCTGCGTCCTCGCCGATGACGTGCACGTGTGGGTTCAGGATGGTGGTGTGGATCGGCTTGCTGTTCTTGGCCAGCACTGTGGGCACCCGGGTATTCTGAAATGGCAGCTCCGGGCACGGACACCACCCACCCTTCCCACCTTGAATCACCTTCACGGGGCTGCCACAGCCCTTCCCCTGACTGAAGAGGGGGTGAAGGGGTTAAGGGACCCTCCTGATGGTGTCCCTCCACATCCCCCACCCATGCCCACCCTGCCCACCCCGACTCCTTCACTCACGGTTCTCGAAGTAGAATCTGTGGAAATCCATCCCTTCGACCAGGTTGCCCAGAGCTTCAGGCTCAAATGAGGTCAGGCCTGGGTCACAGATTTTCCTGGGGGGCAAACCCAAGTGAGGAGGGGCCCCATCCTCCATCCTCGACCTCCACAACCCCCCACCCCAACCCCCCCGGAGACTCACGCATAGGCCTCAAAGTCGCCATTGTTGACGGCCTCAATGAGCTGCTCTGTGGTCTTGATAATTTCCTGTTTCCGGGCTGCAGGAAGAAAACAGGGATGACCACTAGGCTAGCCTGTCACACCCTTGGACACCCCCACTTCTAGCAGGACTTCCAGGCTCTGGCACCTGTACCCAAACTGTCTGAATCATCCTGGACCCTGCTGTGTCACTAATGGCTTCCTCTTTTCCACATGCAATAGCGATTTGGCAAATAAAATATTCTCCAAAAGTAAATACCCTATTTCGATGAGAAAAAATGTCTAAAAACTGCAGCAAGGGGAAAGAAAAGAACCTGCCCATAACCGCCCCACAGTCACCGCCCAGCCTCTGCTAGCCCTAACTGCTGGACTCCCGTCCAGCCTCTTCCTGCCCCAGTCTTCTGCTTCATCTTCTGACAGCGCCTTCATCACTTAAGAACTCTTTCCTCTGACCAGCAGTCAGTGGGAGAAGAGCCATCATCAGCAGACTTGGTCAGAGGTTTCAGGATATGAGTAGGGGTTGGAGTGGGGGTAGCTTTTGAATAAAGGCCGAAGGTCAGGATGGCCTGGGGAATCTTTAGCAAGCTCAAGCTGTCTCTCTACTCCTTTCGCTTTCCTGGCCTCCACCTGCTGGTAGCTCTGGGCCATGTGCTGGCCTAGGAAAAACCCACCCTGAGCGTCCTGAGCCCCTCGGGTCCACTGCCTCCCTGGAGCACTAGCTCCGGGATTTGAGATGAACTTTTTGTTTTAGCCGTGAAGAATTTAAACCAGGAAAGCACGGAGAATGACTCCGTGGCAGGGCTTTCGGTGCCAGCGGGTGTCTGGGTGGCCACCCCCATCAGGTGCCCCGAAGGAGGACTGACTCCACCACAGAGATTTCGCCTGCTTCATGGGGAGCGCATGTACACTATACGTGTGCCAGCACAGGGAATCTTCAACCCCTTGTGAATGCAGAGGCTGTGATTAGTCTGATGTCCCAGACGCCCGGAAGTTGCTGGGACTTGGGTGCACTTATGTAAGAGCCCGTGTTTATGGAATCCACAGCACAATGTGTTCGTGTGCATACAGTTCATGAGCATGATTGTGTGTGTGCACACGGGAAGGCACACGTGAGTGTTAATGTAAGTACCGGGTAGCTGTGTGCATGTATTCCTTGTGTGTGTGTGTGTGTGTGTGTGTGTGTGTGTGTGTGTGCGTGCGCGTGCGCACCCGAGCATGCACGCCCGTGGAATTCCGACGTCTTGAAAAAGTCCTCTCTCCTAACCCAGTTCCCCTTCTGCTATCCTGTTTTGGTTTCTTCCCTACTCTTGAGTCTAAATCAAATCACCGTTTGAACTGGTGCTTCCTCTAGGTGGTGGTGGGCTATGAGCTCCAGGAGCCCCTGTGTTTCCTGTTCGTGTTCCTAGCCACACAAACAGGTAACCCACTCTGCCAGAGTACCAGGGCTCTGTCCCAAACACGCAACAGCTCTTCCTGTCTTTAATTTCTGGACCCCAGGGCAGCCCCTGACATTCCAGTCCCCAAGGGGTACCTACTCTTCCCGGTGTCCATCATTCCTGGTACCTCCCGCCCCTCACGTTTGTTCTTTCTGGAGATGTCTTGGGCTTCTGGCTTGGTTTCTGCACTTGTAGGCAGCTCCTTCCCCAGAACCAGGGCAATTCCTCTCTGCACCCCACACTTCCCAAGAACCTCTGGGGCTTTTTAACAGACTGAGCTGCCCCACTCCTCCACAGGAATCCCTCAAGTGCACAGTTAAAGTGGCTGGAAGTAAGTAACAGCACTGTTTGGTGTCAAGAATGCTGTGATGCTATCACAGCGGACAGATTGTCTGTTTAAAGAAGTTAGGTTGTTTTCAAACAAACAGTAATTAAAAGTGGGAGTCAATGTTAAAAAAAACCAAACAGCTAAGACCATGCATGCCCACAGCCCCAGTCAGAGGTAGGCACTGTGCTAGAGTTTGGGAACAGTGTTCTTGTGAGAGCCACTGGCCCATTTGTCAGCTAGGGGAGCTGAGGCTTCCTTTGATTGGACCTGGACCCCTCCTGACCTGCAGAATGGCTGTTGCCCGGACACCAGTGGGAATCAAACATGAGGGAGGGATGGAGAATCCCTGCACTCATGGATAACTGAGGTGGAGAAGCCTGAGACCAAGGACAAGCTGCCCCATACCCTGCAAGTCCAAGGAAGAAGTCAGAGAGGTGGGCAGGTCTGGCTGGGGCCCAGCGTGGGAGAATCACTCCATCCACAGCTCCTTCTGGCTTGGGAAACCAAGGAGCCTAAAGAGGCTGGCAGTTTTTGGATGGGACCAGGGAAGGTTTGTGTCCCTCCCACCAGCCCAAAGCCCCCACCCTCACAGCTGTCAGGCAGGGCAGCTGACTAAGGGATCAGCCAGGATCAGCCTGAATCCTGTGTAATCCCTGATTAGGAAGTGAGGCCTGGGGTACAGAGAGCACTGGGTGGGGAGGGGCTGGAGCCTGAAGAAACATATAACCTAGTTGATGGGCTGTCACCTGCTCAAGGAAGAGGGACCCAAAACCATCTGACATCATCCACATTTCCCTCCATTTTACTGAAATGTCTTTACTCCCCCTCTGCCCAGCCCCTCACGGGATGGCCAGATGCCACCATCCAGTCCTTCACCACCCCCTCATGCAGGACCTACTTCCCCAGTGCTACCTACAAAGGACTCAGCACAGACCATACAAGGGCAGATCAGCATCTTAGCCTCTAAAGTGATTGCTTGGTGCTCCCCGCAGACCTGGCCCACAGACGGGAGCAACCACCTGGCCATTGCACAGACCCCTAGGGCTGATCACATCCCAGGCTGACCCCCCTTGAGGTCAGATGAGAGAGCCCCCAGACAGGGTGGAAGCTGTCTTGCACCCACCAGCAGTGAGCATCTCTGTCCATGGACTCACAAAGTCCATGCTTTGTGAGTACCGGCTGCAATATGCCACGACCCTGTCCCCTTAACCCAGCACCAGAAATAACCTCACTTCTGATCCCCCCTCTGCCCCCTTAGGCAGCATGGATCTGTTACCCCCCCCCCCAAAAAAAAACAACCCTGCAAACTGTGGATGCCCACCCTTGTAGGCCACTATGACCTTGTCTCTGTTCTGGCTTCCTGCCGCTCTCTCCCACCCTGACCTAACAGGTGGAGGTGATAGGGCTAGGACACCCCAAGCCCACCTCTTCCAGCTACTCACCCAGCCACTGCCCCGCCATGCCAAGGCCCTGGCCCGGCACCCTCTTGTCTGAAGGCATGTCAGCGCCACCCCCAGCCCTGTATCTCCCTGGAGGCGGGGGCAGCGGTGGCTGCAGCCCTGGATGTCATCCATCCCTGTAAGTGATACTGGCGGACAGTCGGCAGGCAGGCTGAAGAGCCACCTGCCTGTGCTTCTCTCCCTAACTCGTCCTTAGCCCTGGCTGCCCCGCCCCCACCAGCCAGCCTGGCCTCCAGCACCACAGAATTCCCAGGAGTTTCTTTTCCTGTCATCTTATCCAGGAAGGCAGCCCTTCCTCAAGGGTTCCTCATGCACTGGTGGGCACCTCGATCCACACCTCCTCCTGTCAGAGTCTGGTGGCTCGCCGCATGGTAGCAAGGACTCCAGGTCAGTGAAGTTTTGGGAGAGCCTTCCCACATGCATGAGCTCGCACACAAACTCACACGCGGCAAGACCAAAATCTGCATTTACGGAAGCCCACTTCTTCACACGTTTCGCTATTTTCCCGTGACCTAACAGATTCCGTGACCCACTACATTTCCACGAGCTGCTTATTCCCAGAGTCAGGCTGGCCATGCACCACGATGGGCGCCTGCCCCTCCACGGAGCCGTTGGGGGCCGCTTAAAATGCTACTTACATGGGGCGGGCAAGGGGCCAGGGAGAGTCGGAGATGGGCAGGGTGGGGGGCCCACTGGTGGGAGGCCCTCAGCTTCTGGGGTCCCTGAGCCCCGCCTCACTGAGTTGAGGATGTCAGAAATCCTGGGGGCTGGGGCAGAACAGACACACATGAATACAGGTGGGCAGAACATGCGGGAAGGGAGCCTACAGACCGAGAGCCAAGCCAGATAGTGGGGAGATGCGAGGGCACCAGGAGTCACGGGGACACAGGAAATGGGGGAGGTCAGGGTGGGATGTGGGGACATAAACGCTGTAGAAGGGGGCGGCCGGACCGCAGGGGCTTTTGTCTGCTCTAGTGTGCTTAGACGGAAGCCGCCGAGGACAGAGGACGCCCTCCAAGGAGAGACGACCTGGCCCCAAAGAAGCCAGAGGCTATCACTACAAATGACTGACAGGTGGGTAGAGGAGTGGACAGAGGGGAGGAGGGATGTTCGGAAGGAAGCACTGTCTTGGCTCATTTGGGTAGCCCAGGCCAGTGGAAGACCAGGCTTCTTTCCTCCCGAAGGTCTCCTATCTACTTGGCCCTGCCTGGGGTTCCCATTCTGGCACCTTCTTTGACCTCTCCTGCCTTGGTGAGGTGAATGGTGTTCAGGGATAGGGCATATGAAGAACCAAGGGCTGCTCTGGAGACAGGCTCTGGGGTACCGTGACCAGGGCAGGGTAGGGTTTGAGTGATGCTGGTGAGGCTAGAAAATTCTTGGCAGAGATGGGCTGAGGGGCACCAGCTAATTCTTACCCAGGGGCCGGCCTGAGATGAAGTGAGGTGAGTGGCGTGCAGGGAAAAAGTAGGGGTAGGAGATGAGTCAGAGGCACTGGGCCCAGAAGGAGAAGCCAGCTAGCTGCCCAGCTGTGTTAGCGAATGTGCCTTGAACAAGGCCAGCTGGACCAGACACCTGTCAGGCATCCTGGTCCGGGGGAGCTTGGCCGTGCATGGCAGGTGCGGGAAGCTGAACGCTGGCCATTCTCAGCGAGCCCTTGGTAGCAGAGGCAGCAAGCCTGGGGGCTACTACTTACATGGGGTGGGCAGGGGGCCTAGGAGACCCGGAGACAAGCAGGGTGGGGGCCCCACTGAGAGGGGTCCCTCGGCTTCTGGGGTTCCACAGCCCCTTCTCACTGAGTTCAGGATGTCAGAGATCCTGGGGGCTGGGGCGGAACAGACACACATGAACACAAGGCAGACAGACATATGAGGAGACGACAGAATTGACAGGACAGACGGAAGGAGGGTCCCTGTTCTTACCACAAGGGAATCTGGGACCTGGCTTCCTATTTGGTGCCAGGCTCAGAAGCAAGACACCTCCAGAGGTAGGGTAGAGGGAGGTTTGGGTGGGCCGTGGAGGCCCTAGAGGTCAAGGCCAAATCCTTTAGAGACTGTCTAATGGCCATGAACAGGAAAGTAGGCCAGGACAGCATCCTCACAGACCAAAAGCAGCCTGAGACTGGGCAGAGGGGAGTCCCAGTTTGAGGGTTGTATGAGGATAGAGCTGGGGCCAGGAATCCAGCCCTGGCCAGTCCCTGGCTCTTGAATGTCCCCTCAGGGAGCTGCCAGGCCCTTCAAAGTCATCCCCACAGCAGCAGGGCCCAGGCTACTTACACGGGGCCGGAAGGGGACTAATGGGAACTGGAGATGGGCAGGACAGGGGGCCCTCGGCTTCTGGGGCTCCTGAGCCCCTCCTCACCAAGCTCAGGACATCAGGGACCCTGGGGGCTGAGGCAGAACAAAAGCAAGCAGTACATGGCAGACACTTGAGACAGAAAGTGGCAGAAAGAGCCAATAGGCACAGGACAGTGGGAAAGGTTCCAGGTATAGAATCCCAGGTCATTGCTGGGGACCTAGAGGACAGAGGTGAAACGGTCACTCTCGGGGGCTCCCATAGGTGTTAGGAGGGAGGGCTCATTTTTGTGGGCCCGTGCCAGGCTCTGCAAAGACTAGGCTAGGGTTTTAGAGTGGTCCTCACTGAGCATGATGGCTTGAGAACTGCCCTGCCCAAGCTCCGGTATATGGCTGAGGTAAGAGTGCCCCTGCTCTTCATTCCCAAGGTTTCCCCTACCTCGTCTCCTGCCTTGACTCTTAGCTTCATCTGCTGCTGGCCTGCTGTTCCTGTCCCCTTGCCAACCTGAGGCCCAGCCATCTCCTTTAGAGCTCAGTGTCCCGCTGGCCAGCTCAAGGCTAGACCCATTGACAGTGAGGTCTGGGTACCCCCCATGCTGCTCACTCTGGGGTCTGCTTCAACTTATAGGGAAGCACACTCTCCTAAGTGCAAGGACCAGTGTCCTGTGCTTATCTCCACTCTGGAGTGTGGAGGCCTCTTGGGGACAGCAAGGCAACTGGTAAGCTGTCTGATTCCCGGGGCCATCCTAAAGGCAGCTTGAAGTGGTCAGACCTCATCCCAGGGAGGCAGAGAAAGCGGGAGAGGCTGGGAGGCCCACTCACTGATGGCAGGTGTCCTAGGGTCATCTGTGAGAACACACATCACGGACAGGGCTCAGGGTGTGGTACCGAAGCCCACCTCAGGAGGAAGCTCCTGAGTCATCAAAGGAAACAAAATTGTTCAGCCACCTGGCCACTCATCACGAGCAAGCTGGACAGAATCAGAGCTTAGGAACTTTAAGAGAGGAACAGTATCCTGATCTGGTTTCACCCATGTACTTCACACCCCGGGAAAACCGAATCCCTGGCTCTAAGAATGGAGAACTGTGGCCTCCTCACATGCTCACTAGTCCTGAGATACCCCAGCCATGGCATCCCAAACATGCTTTGACTCACACCAGTCAGGCTCCGACACCAGGGGCCCTGAACCTTTGTAGCATCACCTGCACAGCAGGGCTGGAGATGCCGCAGAAGGCCCACCCACTGCCAACGCCAGCCCAACATGGCCAGGCAAGGCCTCTGTGAAGGTACCTTTGGCATCTTCATCCTCTATGGTTGTGTTGGTGCTGTCGGAAGACTCCTGAGGAAACAGAGGAGACAGGGGTCAGGATGTGGTCAAAGACGGGCAGGAAACCTCCAGTGGTGCGGCCAGCCGGAGCCTGGCTACTCCTGAGGATTTCAGGAGACAGACCCACCCTGGAAATGCTCGGGGGGCAGTGGCTGGGGAGAAAGCTCTAGCTCTGCATGTCCTTAAGAGGGCTCCAACCCCAGGGCTCATTCTGTCCCCTGCAGGCCAGCACATCTCCAACAGCCAGGACCTCGACTTCGCCTTCCCTCAGAAACTCTGAGAGAAAAGGCCATGTGAAATCCCAAGATGGGAGAACAAGACACTTGACTGACTTTTAGTGAGGGAAGGTCTGGAAACCTGGGCAGTGGGCAGACTTGGTTAGCAGCTTCTAGGCGAGGGACCCCTTCCCCCAGAAGAGAGGAGATCCCTGATGCCACTGCCTCTCCTGAGCCTGCAACTTCAGCAAGGCCCAGCTTCTACCACCTCCAAGTTGGCGGCTGACTTCTGAGTAGTCCTGTGGCAACATGTCCCCAGAAAGCCAAAGAAATCTCTCACAGGTCTTTGGGAAGGACACTGACTGAACTTGGGTCTGGGCCAAAACTGGGGCCCTTTAGATATAAGGCCAGGCCTTATCCTCGTCCAGAAGGTTGGCTAGTAGTCCCTCAGAGGGGAGTATGACCTCACTTGACATGAGGACCCAAAGGGTACCAGTCACGGTGCTTAGAGCTTCCCTTGGTCCCTGGCATGGAGAAGGGCCAGGTGCAGGTTCTAGCCAAAGGAAGTCGGGGTACCCACCGTGTCACCTGGTCGGATCACTAGGGAGCCCAGGCCTGGGTATAAGTCTGACCTGCCAGCCCAGCACAGTTGTTGTATTGTAAACGGTTCCGACACCTGCCCATCTCTCCCACCTCACAGAAAGCCAGCCCCTCCCGGCCCCAGGTGATGATGCCGATGTGATGGGAGCAGATGGCAGAGCAGAGAGGAGCAGGAAGCACTGGGGCCACACCAGGGGGGTGGAGGTGGAGAACGGTCAAGGAGCAGGGACGAGGCTCCTGGGAGGCAGGCTGGCCCCAAGGCCTGCACCAGGTAGCGCTCTTGAAGCCTGCTGAGAGCCAGCCGAGGGGTGAGGGGCGACACAGACAGGGGGCGTGAGCTCTCTTCAGCGGAGTCATTGTGTCTGCCATGGCCCCAGGCAGGTAGGCTTGTGGGCTCTGCCCTACCTTTGGGGTCAGGTCACTACACATCTGCTCTCTATCATGGGCACAAATGCTTCTCCCAGGTCACCGTCCACACCCTCCTCCTGGGCCCATACCTCCTGCCCAAGGAAAGGGTGAGGAGTGAGGTGGTGATAGTACCTTAATCCCGTCCACTGGGTTATGGATAACGGTGGTTTGAGGCTCCTATAGAGGGCGGCAGACAGAGGAAGGAGAGAAAGAGAGGGAGAGTGAGAAAGAAGGAAGCAGAGGATAGGGAGCTAGGGAGCCAGAGGAGTGAGTGGGCAGCCACCAGGGCCTGCCCAGAGAGAGTGTACAGCAGAGGGACAGGGATGGAGGCGGCAGGCGGTCAGCGAGATGGCCCAGTAGGGATGGAGGCGGCAGGCGGTCAGCGAGATGGCCCTGGGTGGGTGTAGAGTAGGCCCGACGTGATGGAACCAGCAGATCTGCCCAGGCCAGAGGCCAGGAAAGATGGAGTCCACGGGGCTGCATAAAAACTGTAGGTGCGTGTGGGCTCTGCTTCTGGGAGTTCTTCCCACCTCCTGCCCCAGCATGGGGGTGGGCACAGGACTGGAGATGTTGTGGGGGTTGGGGTGGCATATGGGATGGGCGGGGTCCAAGGTGGGGCTGGCTGTGAGGCCGGGGTGAGCTGACGCCTGGCATCCTCCTGCCATAGCCCCACTGCCCTGAGCAACTCTCCGACTCTAGCCAGGATGGATTTCTTCTGTGCTCCCTGACTTGACAAAGCCAGATTTCCTGTGGGGGACACCTCCCTAGGGCCTGTGGGGGATACCCAGCAAACTACCAGCAAACTCCAGACTGTGTGGGAGAGCAAACTCCTGAGACCCACAGTGTGGAAGGCTGGTGCCTGAGAACACAACTCCATGTGCCTGCGACTACTGGCTGTGAGGCCACCTGAACAAGAGTCACCCAGGGCAGGGGCCCAGGACCTTCCCAAGGAACAAGAAGATATGGTAGGGGTATCAGGGGTACCCGTAGCCCTCCTCAGCAGGGGGTGCCCCAAGCTTCCCTTTCTGTAATCCACAGACCATCATGGTACATGGCTTCGGTGAAAACAGTCACAGATGGGTAAGCCCACCATTCCTTCTACCACGCACCCCCACAATACGTTGCCATGGTCCCCATTAGACTCAGGATGTATTACTCCAGAGTACCATCCCTGAGGAGCCCAGCCTGGGCACTTCTAGCTGGGTTGGTGTACAAGGTGAGGTCCTTGAAGGGGACAGAGCTCCACAGCAAGCCGCTGGCCTCCCTCAGTGGAACCCTGACTGCCTCTCGCTAGAGCTTCTTGAGGCAAGGTGGTCCAGAGGTCACCACAGTTGGAAAGCCATGTCCCTCTCCAGCACCTGGGCACCTCAAGGGTCCCAAGGAAGGGCTCACCAAGCAATCTTGCACCTGCCTGATCTGGGGCCCCTGACAGTGGCCTCTCCTCTTAGGGTTCACCCCCTCCCCCAGTGCCATGCCATTCCACTCTGTCTCCACCTGGGACTGGTTTGGTCAGAGACGGGCTCTGACCAGAGTCTCACTAGACCCTGCCTTGCAGGGCCTCTCTGACAGAGAGATGAGGCAGGGGTGGGGGCTCAGTACCAGGGCGGCAGGAGGGAGGGATCCTTTGGGGCTGGTGATGGCCGAGCTGTTTTTGGTGCTGTTTGTCTGGGGCTGTGGAGAGAGGGATAAAGAGTTGTTAGGGAAGAAAGGGTACCCTCCCCGCTTCAGTATCTGTTGGGCCATGGCCAGATCTCTCAAGCTAGAACCTTGGGGTCAGCAGCAGAGCTGCAGGTTCTGGTATCCTGTACCCCACAAAGGGCTCAGCTGGTGCCTCACCTTGACTCCATCTGCTTTCTTGTTGAGTAAACTCTTGGCTGCTGCATTGGGAAGGAAGGAGGGATAGTGAGTTCTTAGAGCCTAGGGTCACTGTAGTCCCCTCCTCTTCCCTCCCCCACCCTTCCCTTGCTCCAGGAGTAAAGCCCTGGACCTGAGGACTGATAGCCTGAGGCCAGAGGCAGATGTGGCCTTGGGGTCTGGCCTAGCAGCAGCTGAACCTCTAGGGTTGCTGAGCCAAGCTGCCTGAGGAGCCTCATCCAGAATCACCCTCCCGCCAGCATCTCCACTGATTCTGGAGCTCCTTGCAAGGCCCTCAGGAGCCTCCTTGTCCTGTGCCTATGACTCCCGAAAGGCAGGCAGGATGATCTGACCCCCCCACTTCCCGGGATAGCTCCGGGTCAGGACTGGTAGGCATCCAGTCTACCAGAGATGCAAAGGGAAAAACATGCTCAACCTGGCCCTGCCCTCTGCAGTCCTAGGATGGTGAGCCAAAGCCGGCTGTCACACCAAAGGGCTCATCCCAGCCCCCGCCCCTCCACCTTCTGATGGGCAACAAACTTCTGTACCAGGGCTACACCGCTTGGCCTCCCTGTCCTCCCTTTGAATGCCCCAGAAGCCCTTGCCATGGAACCACTTCTTGGTGGCTACGACTGGGGCCAACACCAGCCCCTTTGCCCACAAGCCCTGGCAGACACCTGGGCCCAACAAATGGAACCCTTGGTTCCAACACTCCCCTCATGGATCAGGACGGTCCTGCCTTTGCCCCACCCTTCACCCCCAGGACTTGCACCGTCTGGAGCAGAGCTTAGAGTTTTAACTACCGAATTAAAACCACAAAAATAGAGAGCGAGAGAGAAAGTCAGCTTACCTTATAGGAAAGGAAAGATGAGAGGAGGGAGTGAGGAAGGAGGAGAGGAGGAGAGAGAAAACAAGATTTGTATTGGTTTAGAAAGGCCCCATGCAGGGCAGCAAAGCCAGCCCGTCCTGGCCCAGTGCTCCCCCAAGAAGAGCCAAGTGGCCACGTGGCCAACACAGCAGGTTAGAGGCAGCCACAGCTGGTACAGCACGAGGAGCATGGGGGGATGCGCAGTCACCTGTCCCCAGGGCCCTAACCCACACATGTTACTAACCCACAGTGTACTGCTAGACACTGGATGGCCATACCTGACCTCAGGCTGTCCCGCCTACTAGAGGAGAACCTATGCTGCCTACAGCAGGCATGGGGACTTGCGGACAGCATATTTAGTCCTCAGGGCTGTAGCACAGTCAAACGTGGTCATCTGTCACAGCAGCGACACCGCTGTTGTGGTCAGAAATGCAAACGCGTAGGCCACAGCCTTCTTGAGTAAGAACCCTGAAGAGTTCTGTATCTGCCCACAGCTCTGAGGTGGTTCTTTTCAGAGACTAGACCCAGGCCCCATTGCTGCCTACTGACCACCTCCTTCCCTAGACAGATGATGCAGTCTGAGCCCTCCCAGGATCTGTATGCTGGGACATGGGGACATGACTGAAGCCACATCTTATCTGAATCTGAAGGGCTTTTGGAGCACCGCTGTGGTGGGCACTGGTTTCTGACAGCTTTCCCCACTCAGGATTTTGGTACTTGTCTCAAAAATTCTGTTACAAGCAGGTCTCTGTGAGGTGAATCTGCCCTTCACATCATCTTCAGGCCTCGAGCTCCCTAAATCTTTGAAACCAGGGTAGCTTCAGGGCTAGAAGTGCTGACCTATCATTTCTCTAGAGAGCAGACTGTGAAAAACCTCTGATACTGAGGCTAGACTCCCTAGAGTTAGAGACAGGCCAGTGTTGACCAGGCATAGCTCTCCTCCGTGGGTTCTGTCCTTTCTCTCCTCCATCTTTCCCCATGGGTCGCCCCTCGAGACACTGCACCAGCAACATGGGCCTCCTTGGCATGAGTGCTGGCTCCGGAACTGCTAAGGCTACCGCCTGGTACCTGCTCTCTACCAGAGACTTGGGCCTGACACAGCTGGAAGACGGGATCCTCCCAGGAGCCCCAGGAAGTAACACAATCTGTCTTGACTATACTTGTTACGGCTTTCCGCGGCAGGGGAAGAGGAGCATTTTTAAGAGGTGGCAATTTCAACAGGCCATTTGCAGAAGGCGGGCTTGACCCCACCCCCCAGCAGACCATTCAGCCAATCTAGCATGTCCCCTGATGGATTCTAAGTTGGAACCGGTGAAGGTCTCAATATTGGTCTGAGATTTGGTTGTGATGTTGCAGTGCCCTCAGACATCTTTGGAGGGTTCTTGAGGAGAAAGACACACTGGAAGGGTTAGGCCCCTAGAAACCCCAGGACTGTCCTTGATCTCAAAAGGGTTCCATTTAAGTCCCTAAGTCTATCAAAACCACAGTTATAAGCTGTGCTATTGGGAATGTTATCTGTGGGAAGAGGACAGGGTTTATATTTGGGGATGTGAATAGGCGACTACTAGGCATACGACAGCACGCTTGGACCTGGATGAGCCATGTCTATGGTTCAGGCCTAGAAAACCTAGGCAGACATCAGTGTCATTTCAGCATCCTTCCTGCCCCTTTCACCAGCAGCCCAAGGGTGCACTAGACACATGGGGGTGGGTGGGCCAGCCTCCATGATTGCAGGAGCTCTGGCCATATGCTTCCTGGAGGCTGTCTTTCTCCAGCATTCACATCTGTCCAGCATTCACTGCAGTCAGGAACCCGCACACTCCACTCACACCATGGTCCAGAGGCAGAGGGGCCAGTCTGGCGGTGTCAAGTCAAAAGGATTTAATAGATGCAGCGGAGCCAGAAGCAGACTAAACAACCATGGGATTCCAGATACCTAGAGTCGGGGCTCTTCAGACCTGTGCCCCAACTCCGGAGGTCATTTTTCCATTCCCAGGCCTCAGGCCAAGCCAGTTACTTCCGACCCACAGCCAGCCTGATGGTCTCAAGGCACTTTATTGCGCATATCTGCTCAGTGTGGGAAGGATGACCGAAGCCAGACTTGCTGTACACCACAGCAAGGGTCTTCCTGCCGCCCAAGGTGCTCTGCCACACTGGAATGTCTGACAGCATCATGGAGAAGGGAGACCCCCCCCCCAACACGTGCCTTAGTGTGTGGTTGGGCTGGGCCAACCCGATGGAGTAGCTGGGACCCTCAGCTCTGCCTCACCCACTGCCTTGTCACTATGGACAGCCATGCTGAGCTTTGATGACATGCACTGACCTCCCTCCAGAATCGAGTGACCCTTAGCACCTGAGACAGAGCCACAGCATGCAGGCAGCCTCATGCAAGGTTGCCCTCGCTCACTTGCAGGCGGGCGAGCATTGCAGTGGAAATCTTGGGCAGAGCATGGCTCAGAGGTGACTTGTCTCACACCGCTGTCCCCTGGCAACAAGGCCTCCCTGGCAGCCACTAGCTTTATCTATTTTTTTCTTTTTCTTTTTTATTTTTTTTTTAAAAATAAACCTAGCCCCTCATAGGCTTCAAAAAGGCTATACAATGTGGGCTTGGGGCAGTCTACACTGTGCCCCTATGGGCACAATAGACCTGCCTAAGATGAGCAGGCCCCAGGAGAAGGATCCTCTAGCTGGCTAAAGCATTGCTGTGGCCCTGGAGGTGTTATGAGGTGGATCCGGGGAGGTATATGGAGAGGGCTGGACCTCAGACTGTGAGCCCTGTGCTCTTTCCTCAGCTGACATGAAGGCTGTGGGAGAAACTGAAGCTTGGCTTGAGCCTGTGTCCCCAGCGGCTGCTCTAACCTCGTGCTAGCCAGCTCTCAGTCTGAATGGTGGTCATGGAGCTTAGGATGAAAGCTCTGGGTTACTTAATCCTCAGAAGGTCCCAGGACCATCCAAAGGAACAGGCTGACAGAGAGAGGCCACCTTCCAAAGAAGGGTCTTCAGAAGGAACCCTTCAGCTCCTGACGCCACCCACACTTTCCCTCGGGGGAACTCTGTAGCAGAGACCACCAGATCAATTTGTCCCAAAGGAAGAACTGACCTTGGCCCTACAGCTCCTTGGGACAACACCCCTACCTCCCAAGGGCTCCCCTTCCAGGATGGAGAGCCTCCAGCAGCAGGCTCAGTGGCTTCCTGTGAGGTCAGGATCATTGGGAACTGGGTCTCCAGACTTCCAGAGTCCAGACCAAGGGTCTCAGGCAAATGTGTCTGGGGTTTGATGTGGCCTCTCCTCTTACAGATGAAGATACAAGAATGAGGGGCAGCCTTATTGCCCAGAGGGTGGAGCCTCTGTTGGATGTGATGGTGGCAGGAGCAGAGCTCCCAGGGGGCTGGCAGCCTCTGGGGGAGGCTGGGGGGGACCTGGCCAGTGGCTGCGTGCAGCAGGGGGGCTGCATGCCAACAGGAGGGATGGGCAGGAGCGGGTGGACACTGGGCAAGACACATCTACCTTGTTCCACCAGCCCCATGGTGGCGCCGGAGGCCGCGGTGGACATTGTGGCCGGAGCGGTGGTCTGTCTGCCCACTGTTAGCACCAGGTTAGAGACGAGGAAGGGGGCGGACACAGACGTGGGGAGGGGCGAGGTGAGGAAAGAGAAGAGACAAAGGAAGCAGAAGAAGATTAGAGTTAAAGTTTAGGTGGGGGATGGCTCCAGAGTCCCTTTCTCGGGAGAGTCGAACAAGATTGGGCCGATGGACACCGAAAAGCATTTGCCTCCTTTCTCCTTAGAACGCCCCAAAGTGGGGCTTCCTGTGCCCTGTGGGGCATGCGGGGCACACAGCAGACAGGACAGTCCCATTAGTGTTGGTGTGGCCGTGTGCCCGTTCCCGGCAGTACAGCGCCACAGCAAAGTAACAGGAGGCAGGGCGCCAGATGCAGACGGACAAGCAGAGACGACCACGAACGCTCGCACACTCGGTGTCAGACGACGACGAAGCCACAGACGTAGCTGTCCGGGCACCGGGGCTAACACGGCTCCCCAGGTGGGCCCCGAGGGTCTCTAACAGACCCCTGAGACTTCATTTTCCCACCACCCACCCTGAACAACCAGGGTAGGTGGCCCGTCCAGAACTCACAAGTTACCCCGTGCACAGACCTCAATCTCATCCACCCCGCCCCCCCCCCCCCCCGCTTCGGCTATCCCCAACACACAACACAATGCTTAGAGTACTGAGGACAAGGAGGCCACAGGGCTGCCCAACAGATGCTTGAACGGATACAGGTGGCAGGCCAGGTGTTGGCAGCACAGACATTGGGGTGTCAGGTGAGGGACACAGACCCAACAATACAGAGGAGGCGGGACTCGGGAGTAGCAGACTTCAGTAGCTACCCAACGAGGGAAGCCACAAGGCCTCTGGGCAGTGGATCTTAGAGGTGAGGACAGGAGCTGGTCCCTCACCAGCCTGGAGGAAAGGGGCTGAGGGCTGGTGAAGAAGGAAGGGGCTTTCTGCAGGGCGAGGGTGGCGCTGAAACGCCGTGTCTTCCCTGGAGAAGAATGTCTCACCTGAGAAATTCCGTGTGGCCAGCATAGTGGTGAGGATGGCTCCCTGAGGAGAAACAGAGCCAGGGCCATGCTGTTAGTGTCTGTCTCCTGATGGCTTCTAGCCAGAAGACTTCAGACCCCGGTTTCCAAGCTCGTGGAGACCCTAGCGGCTGCGCTGACGCAAGCTGCATGTCCACGGTTGAAGCTCACACTACCCACAAATGGCGGTGCCCAGACGCCTCAGAAGAGGGCATGGCTGGAAAGGCCGGCCACCATGCCAGCTCCTCTGGCCCTTTGATCCCTCCTTTCTCTAGAATAGTGGTTCTCAGTCTCCCCAACGCTGAGACCCTGTAACACAGTTCCTCACATTGTGGTGACCCCAACCATAAACTATCTCATTGCTACTCCATAACTGTGATTTTGCTTCTGTTCTGCTATGAATGAGATGCAGAACATATCATTCCACATGTTGAGAACCACTTGTCTAACAGGCCGAGGGCAGTCAGGGCTGTCCTCAGGGCCTTGAGGGAAACTCACTCGAGCAATGGCTCCCAGGCTTAGCCCTGGCCTTGACTGGACAGCAGCTATCAGGATCAGCCCTGTCCACCTGACTCCCTAACCTGCTGGACCCACCAGAAACCTTCTTCTGCTCTCCCTTTACCAAACCGGAACCAGTACTCTTTCTGCCCTCAGGGTGCTGAAGCTGCCAGCTGTGCACCTGGGGCCAAGCTCTGACCCCCTCAGCATCTGGAACCCTCTGATCTGGACTTGTAAACAGGCATGGATTCGGCGGCTTCTCCTGCCTCCTTCTCCGCAGGTCCTGCTGACACTCACTCTCATTTCCAGCATGGGCCCTGCCGGGACGCAGGGACGGGGACTGAGTCCTGCCTACCTTGAGCTTCCTCCTCGCGTTGAACTTCTTCAGACATTCCACAGTCTCCTGTCTGTGCATCATAGAGGCCACTGTGGAGCGTTGCTGTCGGGAGAAGGGAAGTCACAGGGCAGTGAGGAGCTTTAGCAGTATCAGCCTTGTCCCCAGAGGGAAACTAAGGAGGTTTAGGAGAGAGGTTTAGGGTAGTGGCACTCTAGGGACCCACACACTGAGTGCTGCCAGCCGCCACAATGAGAGGTCACTTGTTCCCATCTGCCGACCCCAACTTATTTCCAAGTTCAAGTCTTGTCCTTCACAGAACAAAGGAGTGGTCAGGCACAAGGATCAGAACCTCAGGGCCATCTTGGGGACTCTGGATATACCCACCAGGAAGCGGCCCCTAGAGGTTGCCAAGGAGGACTTACGCAGACCCATGGGTGCTTCAGGGCCTCGTGGGCCGTGATGCGCTTGGCAGGGTTGATGGTCAACATCTGGTTGATGAGGTTTTTGGCTTCAGGGGTAACGGTGTCCCACTCGGGGGATGGGAACTACAGAAGGGCAAGGCTGAAATGAAGCACCTCCCCAGGCAGAGGCCATGGAGAGGAGGGGAGACCCAGGGTGTGGCCGTCCCCGCCCTCCGCACCGTCGACCACTCACATCATAGGCCCCAGCCTTGATCTGCTGGTACAGCTTGTGCTGGTCCTCATCCCAGAAAGGTGGGTAGCCCACCAGCAGGATATACAGGATCACCCCTGTGGATGGGGAGGTGAGCAGCATAGCCCTGGAGGGCACCAGGGTCAGTTTCCCTTTGCCCCTCCCTGCCATGGGGGGAATGGCGCAAACAGCCTCTAATCCCTGCTCCAGCTCTCCGCTACTTCACTAGGGAGCCTGGCCAGCCTCCTCTGTTGTATCCCAGAAAGAGAAGGTCCCCTCAAGGAGCCGCCTGGCCCTGTGGTGTGACAGCCCCTGGTCCCTGTATCCCTGGTGTCCACTTGCTCTGGGCAAGGACCTATGATGAGCACAGGCAGACAAACGCAATGGCCTGGGGCACACCGGTAATCTAGTAAGGGCGTGAGGTTCCTGCTAAGGCCGCCCAAAGGCACGTCTGACACGCATACTTGGCTCAGGACAGGGTAAGCCTGCCACCTGAACACTCCAGGGCAGAGGGAGTAAGCCCAGAAACACACTGCCACACACCCACCGTACAACCCAACCGCCTCTCACACACTGGTCTTACCACACGCCCAGATGTCAACAGGTTTGCCGTATGCCTCCTTCCGAAGGACCTCAGGGGACAGGTAGCCTGGCGTCCCTGCAAACCCTGTGAAAGGGGGAAGGGAGCATGAAGGGCCGTGAGGCGCTGCCAGCACCCTCTGCCTGCCCCCTGACACTCACCAAACCATGCCTGCTGGTCTCCCTGCACCTCGATGGCCAGGCCGAAGTCTGCCAGTTTCACTGCGGCCCCTTTGCATTTGCTGGCCAGGAGCAGGTTCTCAGGCTACAGGGAGACAGCCATGAGGACACAGAGTTCACACGGGGCTCACACAGCGTTCTCATCAGGACACGGTGTGAACGCCGAGAGCAGTGGTGAGGGGTGGGGAAACAAAACGGGGTGGCGGCAGTTCGCTGGGCGGGGAGGCGCACAGCCTCCTCCTAACATAGGTGTCCTTGGGCGTGGTGAGTCCTAGACCTATATCCTAGAGCTCGAGTCCTCTCTGGGGACAAGGGTGGCAGCCTCAGCCACTCAAAGGGACGTTGGCTCTCAGCGTGAACTTGGCTACCCCTACTTCCTAAAATGGTAACAAACGCTGCAGCTCACCCTCACAGACAACCGTAACAGTTCTCAGCGCTGGGCTGCGGGGCTGCGGGGCTGTGGGGCTGCAGGGCTGCGTTCTGACACGGGGGGAGAGTGCAGGGGCTTTGACCTCCACAGGACAGAGAGGAACACCCAGGGCCTACGATGTCTGGGTCACCCCAGGGCAGCTACCTGTCAGTCACGGCCTGCCCACCAAGTCCCACCCAGCTCCAGTCAGCACTAACACCGGAGGACAGAGAGGAGGTGCGGGTCGCTCAGTCGGCATCCATAGGTGGGGAAAGCTTCTTCAAGGAAGCGTCAGCTAGAGGGGTGATGGTTTCATCCTGAAGAAGTGGCTGGACAGGCTGCTGCTGCTAGGTTGTGGAGGGCCTGAGAGGCCCCTCTGATATTGCTTCCCCTGGCCTTTCTGTCTCACCTCCAACCACACCTGAGTCCTGGCCTGTCCCTGCAGCTTGCAGGGACCTCCGGGGGTGGGGGTGGGGGCGTGCTGCAGCCGGACCACATACCGACACGTGGCCGGCTTTTGTTGTCCATCTCAGAGACTTTACATGGCATAACGGTGGCTCCCGGAACCAAAGTGTCCCCACCTACTCAAAAAGATGTGGGCTTTCTGAGGCAGGGGCTCTGGGGCCACGGGCAGGCTGGAGCTCCCCGGGCTCCAGCTGTGGGCACAAGGTGAGCAAGCCCAGAGCTGCAGATGTGCTAGAACTCCAACCCCCTGGTGATAGGTGTGGGGTCACGCTTAGCTGTGCCCATCCTCATCTTGCCACTGTGAGCGTGTGGCAGGAGCCCCAAGCTCTCTGCTCCCACATTGAAAATGTACAAACAGGGATGGTAGCTGCCTCAGTAGGACTTCAGGCCTAGGTCTGCTTAGATATCAGAACCAGACCCACAATCAGGTCCCCCGCCCCTTCCCTAAGGAAGTTATGATGGAGGAGATGTGTCAAGCAAAGTGGGGGTGGGGAGGGCTAGAAGGTGCAAGGGAAGACAGCCTGGGGCCTCCGAGGGAGGAGGCAGCAATTGGTCATAGAGGCTGAGTTGCATTCTGGCTCCTTCACGGCCACAACCCAAGACACAGCAGCGACCCATGCTCTCTCCTGCCTTGCCTTGGGCATGTGGCAGCAGCCTATCACCGTGCCATCTCTGGGTCGGCCTCGCCAAGACGGTGGGATTTCCTCCAGGAAAGGAGGGGCATTCTATTCTCTCAAAAAAAAGGTCTTTTCGCCCAGAACTGGAGGTGTGAGGGAGCACATACTTCCTCTTCAGCCTTGATGTTAACTCTCCGGGAACGGAGCGCCTGCGGCTCATAAAACGGGATGACATAGGTCCCTCTCACCTCAGGGTCTTGCGCCTGACTGATGCAGATAAGACAGAACAGGACACTCAGGGGAGCAAGGGCGCATGGAGAGATTCAGGGAACACCTCGGTCTCCTCTGTTGACACTCTCCCCAGAAAAGCTGCAAAGACTGGTCCCTAGCCTGTGGCCTAGGTAAGGAGTGACTACCCGAGTCGGCACTGACGCTCAGGGGAAGGTTGGCGTTAAAGACATTCACTCCAGGACGAGCATCTACACTGTCCCCAAACAGGTGGATTCAGCAACATGCTGAACTAGGCCTTGGAAAAGGAGAGATTACAGGGAAGGAAGGAGATTAAAAAAAAAAAATGTCTTCTTAGTGTTCATTACTCTCTTTTCATAAGGCTCTCCTGTAGACTCGGCTGCCCTCAGACAGCAGCGCAGCCTAGGCTAACCTTGAACTCCTGAGCCTCTTGCCTCAATCTCCCAGGGCCTGAGATTAAAGGGATGAGCCACCACAACTAGCCATACATTTTAGCCTGGAGCCCATAGTCTAGCTGTGGGCATCAGAGGATTGGAAAGAGATGTGAGGGGAGTTTAGCCAAGCCAGACCACTCCTGCTCTCATCACCCATGTCCCCGCCCTGGAGAGCTGTGGCTTAGAAGCCTAGAAAGTGAGAGGCTGAGCGTACAAGTGTTAACAGCTCTAGAAGGCTGGCCCCTCCAGCGACAAAGGCACCTGGTTGTGAGTGTGCGGCCACACCTCCCGCACATGCGTGCCCACACCCAGCTGTGCATCTACACATGCGCGCAGGCCTCTATGGACAGACCTACGCACACGGCCCAGCACAGAGACAGACACATGCACTCACTCCTTCACACAAGCGTGGAGTACGCACACGAATCGTCCACACCCCACCTCCCTCTTACTCCACACCTCCCCTCACAGGTTTGCAGGTGTGGGTGTCAGAACCTGTCACAGAGCAGGGTGGAGACTCACCTTGAGGTCTCTGTGGACGACCCCCATTTGGTGACAGTGGAGAACGGCCTCCAGGATCTGCTGGATACAGTGACTGTAGCGAACAGCAGGCTAGTTAGTGGAGCGGTCCTGGGGCGGACAGGGAGGGGAGCAGCAACAGGAGGCACGGGGAAGGCAGCAGTGCTGTAGGGAACTGGGGGGTCAGTCCCCAGCCTTGGGGAAGCAAGGAGGATGCAGAGAATGGTGGGGAAAAGAGACGCTGGCCGCAGGGAGTACTTCCTCAGCCCCAAGGTCAGCTGTTCTAGGGTGGGGACGCTAAGACAGGGAAGGGTGGAGCAGGTAGGAGCATGGGTGCCACAGTATGTGTAGATGAGCCCATCTGCTTTGGAGCGGAGACAATGCATTACCACGTGGGCCTCCATCTTGAGAGGTATGGCACCTGGGTGTCTGTCAGCCCAGCTTTAGCCACATGAAAAGCCCCTGAGCAGGCTGCCTCTGTACCCAGGGGACAGCTTGAGCACAGGGGTCCCCCTTCTGTTCCAGCTCTCTCCTAGTTAGTGACATCTACCAGTGCCAGCCTCAAACTTCCCCTGTCCTCCTGTGTATCAAACTCGGGGCTACCAGCCCCAGGTACACAGAGGTGCTGTAACCTGCACTCAACTCCCCTGCTTCCTCAGCAGCCCCGGGAGCCAGGCCCAGGGCTCATGGGACACCCAGGGGACAGCACGGTGGCCAAAGGTTGGCTTCCCTAGGGTATGGAATCCATCCTTCTCGAATAGCACCCCCATCCCCAAGTTTGGCCATACACGGATACGACCAGCACTACACTGAAAATTATAGTCAAGTTTTCCCTCCACAAAGCTCACCCTTGACATCCTAACGGTCAGGATTTGAACTCAGGGTTTGTGAGTTCAGAAAGAGCCACGTCCAATACGTGGGAGGCAGCCGCCCACAACGTTGCCACCTCTCACCTGCTCTGGGGCCTTGAGGCCCCTTCTTCACATCCTCCTCCCAGGGTCCACCTTGGCCCATCTCCTGTTTCTGCTGGTTTCAGAGGGACTGTCACCATAAGAAACTGCCATTTCTCATGACACCCTAGTCTGCCTGATACCATCCCTTACCCTTTCTTTCTTTTTTGCTCCCCAGGAGAGCCAAACACTTGTCACCCAGGGTGGTGTTCAGTCCCGTGTAGGTCAGGGGTCAACGTAGTCATGGCAAGGCCTGTAGGACTGGGCACAGAATCCCTTACCCACGTGGGCAGAGCTCAGTCCCCCCACGACATACACCAGAACCAACGGGGACACAGCTATACGTTCAAAATAGTTCCCCCAGCCCTGGCAGATGCAGACTGGATGGCCAGGCCCTGTGGCCCTATTTAGAGAAAACAACAGACCCAGACTCTAGGTCTCTAACGTGTCTGTGATCTGCACAGCCCTGTTGGATGGCTTCTCTTCTGTCTGGGATGTTCTTCCAAAGGATTGATTTACGCTCAGCCATGGTCATTGGGATGTGCCATCTCCCTACACCACCAGCATGGGCCCAGCCTGCTCCACAACTGCAGAGAACGCTGATGGCCAGTGTCCACACCTTCCCCCAGCTCGGTCTTTGGAGAGGCCATTTGAGTCCAGCCAAAACTCTAGGCCAAGCCCTGTGGCGTTACCCTCCATGGTGGCATGTTCAGCATGGGTGTAGCACTGCATTTTGTTCTGCTGGCCTGCCCCCCGAGGAGGTGCCCAGTGGTTCTGGGCCCCAGAAAAGCACCAGAGACCTCTTTCAGGGCCAAAAGGTCCTAGTCCATGCTGCTGGGTCCATGATCTTTCCTTCCTGGTATAGTTCAATTCTCACACAGGTAGAAGCTTCCCACAGAGGCCACATACACCCTGGTCATAAGTTGGTCAGCAAGGCAAGGCTCTCCAGGAGAACGTGGTGCCCAGCTGTGTGAGGGAACGTGATGGCACCAGCCTGAGGCAGGTTAGGGCACTTACCAGCCAGAAAATGGGCACTCAGGGAACCCTCTGTAGGGGCCTTTCCTCACACTGCTCTGGCCCAATGGCTACCTCCATCCCCAGGCAGAGTCAATACTTTTCTCAATGGTTGCTTAGTTCAGAAGCCACCCTGTGGCTAGAATCAGCATCAAGCAGCATGGTGGACACTGGCCAGGCTCTGGCCATGCATCTCTGCCTGGGATGCAGGCAGCACCACAGTAGCTGGGCCTATGGGGGCAGGCCGCTGTGCCTGGCTTCTAAGACCTGCAAGAATTGGTCTCAGTGCTTGGAACTTCGTTTTCTTTGTTTCGTAGGAAGACTTGGTCACCTCTGAGTTTCCCCCAAAGCTCCCAAATAAAAGCCCCACAGCACTCTAAAGGGAACCCCTACCTTCCTCAGATAGAAACAGGTTCAGAAGAGCCACCTTTGCTTGTTTTCTCTGGGCATCAGGAGTCTGCCCACTGCGCCTGGCCAGACGGTGTCCGTCCACCTCCCTTGTGCCCTTCCTCCCAACCCGAGCACACATTTTACTCTAGTTAATGTTGGGATCCACCCTGGAGTGGGTCGATGGCTGTGGAGTAGCAACCCACAGGAGCGACCCAATCAGACTCCTCAGTAGGCAATAAAGGCCAAGGCAGAAGCTTAAAGGTCCAGACAGCCTACCGCCGTGGAACTGCGTCCCGGCTGTGTGTTCTCCCTCCTCAGTGCAGGCCACAGGCCCAGTGACAGAGGAGCCTGGGCCATAGGGTAACCACCCTGTGGGCACTGGGGCTCTGGTACAAATGGGGTGTAGCCTCTTTGTGGGGATTCCTCATGTGTTCTCCCCACTTCTCAGGACTCGGGGTGCCCATCCTTGATCACAGTCTAACTATTGAGCACGTGCCTTCCCTTGGATTCCTAAATCCCAGAGAGAAAGAGTGTGTGAAGAGATGGTTGGTGAGACGGGTCCAGGGCTAGGTTCAGGAAACCCCAAATACTTGAGACACTCTCGACAAGGGGTTTCCCCGGGAGGTAGGGAGTCCTGGCCTCTGAGGCGGTGTGGGGCTGCCTGGCAAGGACACAGAGCACGTGACTCTCCCAACCTACAGGTTCCTATGGCCTAAATGGCCTCAGAATCTGGGAACTCTCAGCCGCTCCCCGTCTTGATCCCTCCCAGACCCAACAGGTCTTGGACATGGTTGTCCACCCTGTCCCTTCATCGCCTGTGGCAAAAAGGCTGGAAGGGTTGGAAATGGGGCGGGGAGGTGGGTAATGTTTCTGGTACAGACACTCTATTCCTCCATCGCCTATAGCAAGAAGGCAGGAGGGTCCAGAAATGGAGGATGGAGAGGTTCTAGGCCAGGCACCTTAGAGCCACCAGAGGGTGCTGTGGGCCTGTCAGAGATAGACTGAGGCTGGACCGTGGTGTGGCCCTGGAAGGACAGCAGGCCGGTACGCTGTGGGTGAACCTGACCTCAGTGGTAGAAGCAGCCCCCAGGTTAGAGAACAAAGCTTGCAGGTGGTGCTGGGCCCCAGAAAAGCACCAGAGACCACACCACACGGAGCTATAGGAATGGAGGGAGCCAAGGGCTGAAGGAGTATCAGACACACCAGCAGGCCACTTGGAAGGGCCACGGCATCACAGCTTGGTGACATTTCCCACTCAGCATTTTAGGTCAGGGAACGGGGTTCCCTTCCACTTCCTGCTTCTCTTGTAAGTAGAAGATAAAGAGAAATTGTATTATTTTTTTTCCAGTCCACAGGACAGGCCTCTTCTAGGATATTTTTGCAAAACACAATGTTTTTCCTGAGGGAGCCAACGAAAGGACTCAGCACTCTTAGTTTCTAAGACTGAGAATTGGGGCCACAGGCCTGTCCCACCCTGTCCTCTGTAGCTTGGCCTCTGCTGCCTGGCTCTGTGGGGAAGACCTAAGAGGCCACAACAAGCCAGGATACTCATGGCTTCCCACAGGGACTTGGGGCCTGCAGAGAAAGGCAAGGCTGCCTGCTAGTACAGCATCAAGCCACATAAAGCTCCTGTAGAAATAATATTCATTTCTCTCGATTAGAGATGTAATACATATTCATTAAAGACGAGCTTTAAAATAGACAAGATGAAAAATTTAAAACTACCCATAACTCCACTGCTCGGAAAGGACCACGGCAGCATCTTTTCTTTTTTAAATGTGCACATCTATCTGTGTGGCCAAGGGAAGGTGGACAGGGCCCACTGGCGGGGAGTGACCATCAACAGCTATCCCCAAGATAGGACACAGCCAGCGAAGGATGAGGTGTGCGCCTTAGGAGCCCTTCCAAAAACAGACCCCTCCTCGCCCCGGCGGACACCCTTCGGTCAGGTCCTCAGCAGCCATGTCATGACACTGTCCTTCATGCCCTGGCATAGACCGGCCTGGAGAGAAAGACTGTCCAAACATCGATGAGGAATTCAGGCCTGGTGGAATCCATGGACCTCCACTCAGGCCCACACCAGAGGCCCACGGATCCAGGGCTCAGGCCTCTGACTGGCATGCTGGCTGGGAGGACATGCGGCCCCTTCGCCCTGAGCTAAGGTTTCACGTCTCCCTGGCCTCTTCCCATTGCGATGGAGGGAGGTGGGTGCGAGCTCAGGAGCTCCGAATGGACAGCCGGTAGTAGCTTTTCTACCAGTACAGCATTATGCTCAGGCTGGGCGGAGCCCAAAGTGGCTCTGAGGGGATAACGTGGATGGGGATTGGGCAGCCATGCAGATGACAGGGGAGCAGAGGACAGGTGTGGGTTACAGAAAGGGCGAGGGTGGGGCTGAACTTGGAAGGATCCAGCGGTTAGGGAAGGGGAGCACCGTGGGAGGCTCCGCACCCACCTGGCATCAGCCTCGCTGTAGTACTCTCTTGCCACGATGTCTTCAAAGAGCTCCCCACCAGTGACCCTGTGAGGAAAGCACATGGTCGTGGATCCTGGGGAGCCTCGTCACCCCGGTACCTCCATCCCTGTCACCACCACCATTACCCATCATCACCACCGCCATTACTACCACCGCTGCCACCACAGTCATCACTATCACTACCACCGCCATCACCGTCACCATCACTGCCACCATCTCATCACTATCACTATCATTGTCATCACCATCATCTCCATCCTTGTACACCTCCCCGGAGGACAACTTAACAAGGGAACACTTGCTCACACCCAATGACATTTAGTATTTTATACCCATTCCCTGAGAAAATGAGTTTCTCAGATCTAAGCAGCTCCCCCAAACCCCCAGGGTGGCAGCAGAGGTGTCTGAGCCAGGGCTTTCCAGTGTTACACCCAGCTTTGTGACTCGTAATTTCTTTCTAGGTCTGAGAATATCTGGCTTCCCCTCTTCAGTAGTCCCTTGTCCCGGGCCGGATTGGAGGTCTCACACAGTGCTGGGATCTGGCCTCCATGTTTGCCTGAGGTCTTGATGTCCTGTCTCTGTGAGAGCGTAGACAGCATGGGGAGCATTCGCTGTTCACACCCCCGCCTGTCCTTTGTCTCTGTCACCATCCAGCAAATGCCCATCCCAAAGCGGGAATAGTAACATGAGGCATGTGTAGTTTGCACACGTGTGGACCAGGAGAGTGGGATCTAGCAGTAGCCCAGGTAAGGGGTTGTGATCACCAGTGCTGTGTGATTCTTGTTTGAGTCTCAGCACAAACACAAAAAGTTCTCGAACTAGGCTTTGCTAACTCAGGTTTGGGCAGGGAAATGACATTAGGCCAGTGGATCTTGGTACAGAGCTGTGGCTCAAAGGATGCCCTTGGAGGTGCCAGATCTGTGCCAGGGCCAGGACCCCTGAGGTACCTCGTGTGGTCAGGCAGCTGCACTTGGGTGTATAGACACCAGGAACCATCTCCTGGTCCAGAGTCTCAGGTCAGGGAACTGGGCCTCTGCTGAGGTAGCCGCTGTGGGGGATGCTGGGAATCCATGCAGCTTCTATGCCTAGGCCTGGTGTGCACCGGCCATACCCCAGAACCTGCAGAGGTCTGAATGGACAAGGCCTCAGGGCCTGCTGGGGTGCCACCAGACCACCTCAAAACCTGCAACCCTGGAGGCTCTGGAGGTATGGGAGGAAGATATTTTGGCCTTTTGTCCACACCCACTACCTCAATCTCTCCCTGCAGCTGCCTGCCTGGCATGTGTTGAGAAGTCTGAGAGATGTGTCACATACACACACACATACATACACACACACAGACACACACACACAGACACACACACACACACACACACACACACGGACACACGCACCCCTTCCCCCCATTCTCTTTCATTCTCAGCTCCTGAAACAAGTGAGGCCCTCTCTTGGCCGTCAGGGGCCCCAAGCAGGACCACCCTCAGCCCACAGGCCTCCCTTTCCAGAGAAGAGAGGATGGTGAAAATGGTTCTGGGGCCCACAAGGGAAACTTGAGCCTGCCCCACCTCAGGCCATGGGACTGATGTCACGGCATGGATTCAGAGTGCAGCCTGTTATCTAGCTGATAATTCTAGGCAGAGTCTTGCGGGACACACAGAGGTAGCTGAGAAATAACCGAACTCCACGCCGGGGCAGCGTAGCTCTTCACCAAAAGATCCTACAGGGCAGAGGACGCTAAGGCCTGCAGGCCTGATGGCCTGGACATCTGTCGATGGAGGGAGGAAGAGCTGAGAGGAAGGTTCCTCCTGTTCCCATTCAGCCTGTTGCTCAAGGGCATCCAGAGGGCATGAGGTAACCTTGGCAACCATGCCAGATCCAGGCTGCCCTGGCTGTGCAGTCTGGAGGCCACGAGGGCAGGCCAAAGCCCCTGGGCCCCCACCCAGCCCAGGGTCCCGAAGCAGCCCTGATTCACGGACAGCTAAATATAGTGCTGCTTAGCAGGAGCTGTCAAGAGTAAGGGAGATGAGATCATCGCTTCTAAATCCGGCAGGAAGTGAGAGGCAGAGTTGGCCCCAAACGCCTTCTCACTCAGCTACTGCACACACTCTCATGCAAGCAAACACACACACACACACACACACACACACGCCTGTATCCTCAAAACCACATATACACACACTGCCACACTCATAAAACAGACAGACATGCACACTCACGGACTTTACACACAAACCATCTCTCACAAGCTCAGGGACCGTTGTCACACAGATGCCCCTATGTACATTCTTCCACTCACACTTAGAAACACATGTGCGCACACCTAGCTGTGCCCCAACCCTGCGCGACCGGCCTCAAAAGCTCGGAAGGTAAATGGGCACTGACAGCTGTCTGTGGTGTTCCCACCACTGGCCCCACCAATCAGCTTTCTGTACAGAGGACGACCTCAGCGTGTTAGGCTCAGACTTGTGGGTAAAAACCCGTGCACAGCCAAATCAGCGGTGGCTAGGCTAGGATGGCTGGGGGTGGGTTCCCCACTGCAGAGGGGAACTCAAGGGGTGTCCTGTGGGGATAGAACAGTTTCTGAATCTGAGGAGGCCGCAGGCCCCATGCTGGGTGTGGAAGAAGGTAAGGGTCCTTGGATCTGGCACTTACAGGTCGAAGACCAGGTAGTGGAAGCCCTCTTCAGAGATGCTGTCGTGGAGACGTACTGCAGGGACAGAGAAGTCATGAGGAGTGGGAGGTAGCCCAGGACACTCCCTACAGCCCACCTCCACCCTGTCTGGGCCCACACAGAAGCTGAGGTGCAAGCCTGAGCGGGGAGCTCCCCTCTGTGGCCCACAGAGTCTCCCCCAAGACAAGGAGGCTGCCTGGGGCCGGGGGAGCTATGAGCTGGCTTCAGGTGCTGCCGGCTGAGCCTGCGAGAGCACCACGGAGCTCTAGGCAGCACCTTGCCATTTCCCTGGCCCTTTTCTGCTCTCCTATTTCCCCCTACCAAGGGGAAACACAGCAAAGGCTCGCTGCTGAGCCCCTGACAGGAGCCTCGTCATCATCATGGGAGGGGATTCTGCAGGAACCTTTCTGGACAGCTCCCCCCAGCCCAACCCAGGACAGGGCCTCAGCAACAAAGAATTGCCAGCTGTGGTATCAGTCAGTCCTTTTGAGCAGCAGGATCTAGGAGTCTCCTTCCCTCTGGCCCTATTTCCACACCACTTGGGAACCTGTGTTCAGGTTTTCACCCGGTTCCTACCTGGGCTGGGCAGGGGCTGATGGGCTGTGAGGGATGAGGACGTAACAACACTGCTCTGCACGGAGCAGTAAGGATTTTCTAGGAATGAGTCACTGTGGGCCCAGCTCTCCCACCTGCAGATTCTGCCCTTTGCTAGCATGGCACTGCATGGCAGGGCAACTCTGAGCACCCTCTAGGCTGCAGAAAAGGGAGCCACAGCACAGAGGTTGACTAATCAGCTGGGGGCACACAGCCACAAAAGGTGAGGTGGGGCTGTGGGATCAGGGGTCTGGCTGCTGTGAGTGCACAGTGCTAGTCCTTGTGTTCTTGGGATCGCTAAGCTCTCGCTGTCTTCTCCCACCCGAGACTGGGCCACGAGACTGCAGGGTGAAAAGCAGACACCTTCTCCCTTGGTCCCAGAGGGCTCCAGGACCTCAGGCAAGAACAGCCCACACAATTCCTGCTCCTGGCACCCTCCCCGCTGTCCTAGTTTCTAGCTGGCTGCCAGCACCCTCCCTCTTGGCACTGGTCCTCCCAGGCACCATCCTGATAGTACCCTTGTGCCCAGGAACTCTGACCTGCCCTGCGCCCCAACTTGGTTCCAGGCAACTCAGCCCCATGGGGCATCTGACCTCCTGTATACCTTTAGCCCACCAGGCCCCAGGGCCTCCACAAAGACCGGAGGAAACAGGAGAGCACCCGCTGTGGCCACCAGAGTAGCTGTGCGAATCAGGAGGGACCCCCCCCCTCCCCGCCCTAGTCCCCTGAGCCTCAGTCCGCAGCTCTGTAGAGTGGAAGGAAACAACACCTGTAGGTAGGGCGCTGAGAATTGTGTACCTATGTGAAGCTGTGATAGTGTCCCCCAAGCCGCAGCCCTGCGTCTGCCATTGTCGTCACTGTCAAACGGATATGAGAAACACCAGATGACTGAGGCTCAGAGTCCCAGGCCGCTTAGGGACCAGGGCTGCTTTCTGAAGCCCATGGCAGTGGCCTGAAAGCAGCCACTCTGAAGTCTTCCTCCATTTCCTGGCTCTAAGCACAGTAGCTGACTACCCAAACCATCCTCTGGGTCCCACATCCTTCTCAGCTTTCTGGGCTATCAGAGCCCTTTAGTTAGGATAAGTTGTTCTACTTGGCCCCCTAGACTCTCTGTTTCTATCTGGACCCCACCCCCAACTCTGTCCAGGCTGACCTATGTCTTTCTAAGTCAACATGAGTCCCTGGGGCCTGCTGGCAGCCTCTTCCGGAACCTTCCTGGAAGAAATGCCTGAGGCTGAGCCAAAGCCCATTCTGGCTCCTTCCTAGCGGCGGCCCATCAGGCTAGCAGTCTGAGATGTCCTGGCTGCTCTGGGACAGGCCACTCTGAGCAGAGAAGGGTCCCAGCTGTCACAGAAGGACTTTCTTCCGTCTGTCCCTGAAGGAGGTGCTTTAAGAAGGCCCCGCTGGTCATTGAGATTCCTCATTGCCCTCTACGGACCCCAGGAAACACTGTTAGTAGCTACCTGCCCTTAACCACCTGCCTAAAGACCAAAGAGACTTGGCCCATCTTGACCAAAGAGGTGGGTCCATCTCATTCCTTTCTAGGACACAGGTTTTTCCCACAGAGGGAACCATGCAGCACTATGGATGTGGAATTAAGGCAGCAGGTATGTGGACTCCATTTTAAAAACAGGTGCTTGTTTTAACGGCTTCAAAGAAATCCTAGGCAGCACATCAGACCTGTGAGTTCATAAAAAAGGCAAAGGAAAATGTGACAGAACCGTGATGACATCTATTTAAGACAGAAAGCAAATGGCATTCTGCTGGTATACAGGAAGAGTGATGTGAAAGTTCACCTCAGCTTCTTGCCAGGCCAGCCAGGAGGAGCTGGATCAGGCGGCCAGAGGCACCTGATTAAACCCAGTTAAACAGCCTGAGTGTCCCAGGGGAGTAGGATGGAGGGGCATGATTGTGTTCCTCTTCCTGCTCTGCTGTGGGGCTTCCTGCTGCTGGGGGCCCCCTTCCCTTCTGCTGAGTGAGGCTCAAAGGCCCAGACTCCCAAGCCCAGCTATGGTGGCTTCTGAGGGAAAAGAAGCTTGGGGCACCGAAATGTTAGAGGCTTCAGGGGTCCTTCTGCTCTTGATTCCCTGGCCCACACTGGCCCTGACTCCTACCTGCAGGTCAAGTGTGTGATGTCAACGGAGGGCTAGCTCTCAGAAGTCCCGGCTGCAGCTCATGCACGTGACCCAAAGGCAACCTGGGACTGCCTCTCCTGGCACAAGGCAGGCATTTATAAACATGTGCTGAATAATGAATTCTGGAACCTCCCTGGGCCATGGCGCCGAGCTCAGGGACACATCCAGGTGAGGCACAGACTGTCTGTGCTCAAGGATAAGTGTCACACAGATGCCAACTTCACTGTCACAACCTAGCTTGGAAGCCCCTTCACCTGGGGACCCTGTTTTCGGTGGCACGGGATCCAAGACCACATGTTCATTCCACCTTCTTCTAGACAACCCAGAAGAACCCTTTCTCCATACCTGTTAAGGCCTGTGGATGTATCGTGGCAGTTCTGCTTTGTGGCTCTCTTCTGAGTGGCTCTCTGCCTAGCCCTGGACACCTGGAGTCCAGAGACTGGGGTGACAGCCTGAATGAGTTGGGCCTCTTCCCAGGAGAGGGATCCAGGCAAAGCTGCTTTTTGTTGCAAAGACCTAATTAGACCTCCCCTCTCTCATTCTTTGAAGCACTGCAAAGGTCAGGCCCTACCTAGAGCTGCTGCACCTCTTGTTCACTCTGATGGAGACTGGGTCACCTTAGAGCAAGCACTGGGGCATGCACTCGGCCAAGCACTCTCTAGAGGCTAGGGGGCTGGCAGCTGAGGGTTGAAGAATTCACTTTATGGGTGGTTGTGGGGTGAGACTGTGAGCCTCACTCACAATCAGACAGCTCAGCAGGTAGGAACCAGGACCCCCCCCAGCCTCAGGTGCTCATCACAGGGACTGCAAAATCCACACCAAACCCTATAGCACATTTCCTCTGTGGAGGCTGATTGTCCTGTCTGTGGGCTTCAAATAGAGTATGCAGGAGAGACATCATGCCAACTAAATCATGAGAAGGCATACGGTTCCTCAAAGGGTTAAACAGAGTCCACATGTGAGCAACACTGCTCCCACCCAGGTGTATCCTCGAAGGCAGGGAGTACACAGGGATCCCTGTGTACTCCATCAGAGCAGCCCCATTCCCCATTCCCAAGAGGCGGGAGCAGTCCCAAGGGTCCATCAAGAGATGTATGGACCAGAAAAAAAAAAGTGGAACTGTCATGCAATGAGTATTGCTCAGCCTTCAAAAGGAAGAAATTGTACCTGGGTGTGGCGATAGATGCCCTTAGTCCTTGCACTCAAGAGTTAGAGGCAGGCAGATCTCTGAGGTCAAGGCCAGGCCAGTCTGGTCTGGTCTCTATGTATCTGGAGCTACACAGAGAAACCCTCTTGAGAAGAAGAAGGAAGAGAAGGAGAAGGAAGAGAAGAAGGAGGAGGAAAGGAAGAGGGGGAAGACAGGGAAGAAGGAGGAGGAGGAGGAGGAGGAGGAGGAGGAGAAGGAGGAGGAGGAGGAGGAGAAATTCTGACAAGGATGACTCAATGAAGTAAGTCAGTCATGGAAGGACAGACGACAAATGGCTCGGCTCCATTCTTATGGGGCTTTGGTTGGTTGGAGACACAGAAGCAAAATGTTGTGTCCTGGGATGGGGAAGAGGTAGATGGTGAGTTGTTTAATGAGGGTAGAGCTGGTGGGAAAGAGGGAAAAGGCTTGGCTCCAGGCAGTGAGGGTGGGCCATTGCATTGATATAGGTAATGCCACTGAACTGTACATCTGCACAGGAATATTATCATGCATTACTGTATCATAATTTTTAAAGGTGATATGCCCTTCGTTTTCTCTCTGTCTCTCTCTCTCTCTCCTCTCTCTCTCATACTTGTCTCTGTTTTTCTGCTTTGTCTCTGTATATTTCTTTTGGAAGTGTCCCCCAAAGACCCACACATTGAAGGCTTGATTCCATCACATGGCGCTATGGAGAGATGGATTCTTTAAGGGGTGGAGCCTAGTGAAAGGAAGCTAGAGCTGTAGAGACATGCTCCTGAAGGGGTTCTTGGGATCCCCTCCTTTGCTCCCCAGCTGCCATGGGTGACATCAACAGGTCTCCCCCAACATTTGCTTCTGCCAGAGGCCCAAAGCCATCATGGACTGTCACTTTGTATGTGTGTGTGTGTGTGTGTGTGTGTGTGTGTGTGTGTGCATGTACTCATGGTGGACACGTGTGAAGTCCATGTGGAGGCCAGAGGTTGACATTGGGTGTCTTCCTCAACTACTCTCGGCCTTAAATAATGCGTTCTCACTTGAATCCAGAACTCACTGATTCAGCCAGCCAGCTTCCTCTGGGCATTCCCTGTCCCCACCTCCTGAGCACTGGGATTACAGGCTGGCACCATGCCTGCTTGGTATTTACATGGTGCTGGGTTTGGGCATCTGTGATAAATTAACCCTTTATCCTCTGAGCTCATCCCCCATCCCTGGACTGGCCTCTCTGTAACAATGAGATAAAAGTTTTCTTGCAGGGTCATGAGCCCAGGTGTTCTGTCACACAGCAATGGAAACTGACGAACGCTCTCTCCCTCTGTCCTCACTGGCTGTGGAAGAGCCTGCTGCCATGTCACAACCATGCTTACCTGGCTCTGGAGAGACACTTACGGAGACGAACTGAGATTGTAGGTGGAGCCAACTTGGAAATTACTTCCGAGGCTCCAGTCAAGCCCTGGCTGCATTCAACATGCATGTGTACTCGAGGGATGGCCAGTGTTGGGCCTGCAGTTGGGGAGGAGCCCAGGTAGCTCTAAAGAGCTCTGTTCCTGCTGCTGTTTTGAAATCCTTCTTTAAAAATTATCTACTTTATGAGTACTTTGCCTGTATGTATTCTACGTGTGCCCAGTGTGTACTTGGTGCTCACAGAGTCCAGAAAAGGGCACCAGATCCCCTGGGATTGGAACTAGTAGGTGGTTGTGTGCCATGTGGGTGCTGGGAATCGGACTCAGGTCCTCTGCAGAGCAACAGCTGCTCATAAGCACAGAGCCATCCCTCCAGCCCTGCTGTGAAACTCTTAACGTTTGAACCTCGGGTCTCACGAGCTCCACGGAGGCCTGCCAGCCAGCCCCACTGCTCTAGGGAGCACAGGCGACCCAGGCTGGGCGGCAGACTTTGGGCTTGTTTGTTCTGAAGCACAGATGATGCCATACTTGTAAAACCACTTTATGAGAGGGGGAACCTTGGTATCCCCTTCCACCAAAAAGAAGTCTGCTCAGAGCATGTGAGTGGGCCTCAGTTCAGGCCTCTGAAAAGAAGGACCTTTAGAGTTGACTCTGCTTCCCCTGAGGGGGAACTTCGTTTTCTATTGTTTCCCAGGTGAGTCATCTCAGCTCATCCTACGAGGCCCCTGGGAAAGAGGAAGGAGCATCTCCAGTATCAGGGGGGCGAGGGAGGTGCCCCCCCAGCCTGCCACACACTGCTTCCCGACTGACCTCACCCAGAACCCCCTCCACACATGTCCCCCAGCACTTGCTCATGGTCCCGGGGTGGCCTCTGGACAGCTTTCTGTTTAGAAGTGGGGCTGAGGTGAGGAGACTAAGGAAAGGCCGGGGGTAGCCCCAGGAGTTCCCCTCACCTCCTCAGGGAGCTCCTGCATCTTCAGAGAGGGTCCCACGGAGCCTCATGGCCTCTGTGGAATATTCATCTCTGGGGTCCTAACCTGACCCCAGGACTTTTAGTGGACCCTTCTCCCCAGGCCACACAGAACGCTGGGGCCAAGCCATTGCTTGAGCCCCATCCAGAACTACACTAGGTTTCTGGGAAATGTCTCATTGAAGAGCCGAACAAATTAAAACACAAATCTAAAACACACCTGGATTGCCACTCACCTCCCCCCCTCCAAAAAAAAAAAATCAGTTCATGCAAACACAGGCAGAGTCACAGCTCCTGGTTGCTGCACAGTTGGGGCAGGTAAGCAAGGGCTTGGAGGTACTGGTGGGGCTGGGTTGGGGTGCCATCTTTGATGATCCCCAAGGAGAGGTGAAGTGCCCAGTGGTGAGGTAACAGCTCTTGGCGCTGAGCTGCAGGCACCAGTGGCCAAGCAATTCAATGGACACTGCTGAGATCCAGGTTCCTGGGCCTACCCAGACCTCCTGAGTCAGCTCTCCAGGGCAGGCCCAGGCACCTGCCTGTCAAGAGGATAAGGTTCTATGCTGGATGTCGTGGTGCACGCTCTTAATCCCAGCTCCTAGGAGGCAGAGGCAGCTAGACCTCTATGGCAGACTGGCCTACACAGCAAGTTCAAGGCCATCCAAGACTACATAGCAAGACATTGTCTTGAAAAACAAAAATGAGGGTAAGGCTCCAGAACTATGAGACTAAGGATCCATCAACTGGTAGTTGAGATCCAGCTGTGGGAGTGAAGGCTTTATCTTTCCACATCCAGCTCTCCGTCTGGGCCGGTGGCCAGCACCAGCAGCAGGACAGCAGCAGGACAGCCCACATTCCCAAAGCAAATTAACTTTCCCTCTCTACCTCAGACCTTAGTCTGGAAAGGGATGTAGAAGCCAGATCCCCAATCCCAACATTCCTTGCAATCCCTGGGGATCCCTTTAAGACAGATTCCTGGGCAACGTCCTGGCAAAAGTGAAGCTTTGGAAGGAAGAATCCAGGAACCCCAGTACCTCTGAGGTCTGTGAGCCCTGAGTCTGCAGATGGGGGCAGCCACCCCAAGTGTCTCCAGCTACTCCCAGCATGGGTAAGATGTGGGCTTCCAAACTCTTCCTCGCTTCTGGAGGGAGGAAGAGGCACTCGTGGGCCTTGCTATAGCCAGGGAAGGACAAAATGACCCAGGGAGATCTGAGCCGACTTTCCAGGTCAGCACAACCTTGGGCCCAGCAGCTCCTTGAACATTTGTCTGGTCTTTCGGAAGGAGACTGACAGGCAGAGCAGCTGGCCTTGTGGGGACCAAGACTTGGCAGGGGAGCCGGAATCCTGTGACTATCCTGTCTTGGCTGGCATCTATGCTGAGCGCGGGCAGATGGGTTCTTGTTGAGTACTCACTTCCTCCTGGCAGGGCCAGCAGTCCCGGCTCTGGACACTCACCCCACATGTGAGACTTGGACAGGCCACCGGGCCCAGGGTGTGGGTTCTAAGTACCTCTATAGTCATTCTCTACCCTCCTCTGGGTACTCACCAATGTTGGAATGCTTCAGCAGGCGGCAGATCCGAGCCTCTCTCTCCAGTTTCTGGTGATCTGGCAACAGAAAAGGGCGAGGTATCACCAACTCGTGCCTCAGCATCTGGGGACTGGCGGCTGCCACATCAGGATAGGTTCCCAAGTGTGTGTGGCCGCCACCAAACAAGAGGCTACCCAGGGATGATTTCCTGGCCTCTGGGCCACCCACCTGGCTGGCTGCAAGGGAGAGAGAGGCTGTGGATACCTACAGCCATAAACAACTGCTGTGGACTGAGAGTGGTTCCGACAATGCCCAGAACAGGAAGTCTGTCAGTGGCACACTGACTTAGCCCTTCACTCACTGTTCAAATTCCACCTCTGCTGATGGGGTCTGTACAACAATGTGTCCTCAGAGGCCAGAGCCTCCTGCATCTCCTTGTTCCACCAGACATAGGATCTGGCTCCGAGACACCCAGCCACGGGACACCCGGACCCTGAGTTCTCGCTGGGGCTGATGGGTAGCTCACTTGATGAATAGCCACCTCCTCCTGGCAGGCCCAGCAGTCCTGACTGTTCCTCTGGCAGTCTTTCCCTAAGGCCCCCGAAGATAGAGCAACTTACTCCAAACAAAGGTGCCAGGAAGCTTTTAAGAGCTGATAGAGATAGCAATAGAGCCCCCCACACCCCGAAAAAAAAAAGCCCTCTGTGCCGAGGGGGTGGCCACAGCCACAGCCAGAGTAGAACGCAGGGCAGCAAAGAAACAGCTCACAGCTCTCACCCTAGCTCATACACACCCTCATCTCCCAAGCGCTGCTGCCGTGCATGAGTGCTTGTGTGTGTGTGTGTGTGTGTGTGTGTGTGTGTGTGTGTGTGTGTGTGGCTTTTCAGCACTAGCACTGAGGACAGCGGCTCCCTCCCTGCCAAGGCTGGGAGGGGGTGGAACAGGGAGGGGAGGGGTGGAGGCTGCATTTGGAACCCCTACCTCTTGCTATGTGCAGAGCCCCTCCCAGAATGCTGAGCCCATAATGAACACGCCAATCCAAACCTCAGAGGGGTGCTTTCCTCACTAAGGGAACTCCCTAGGGTCAACAGAAAAGGAAGAAAGCAGGCACCCTTTGAAAAAGGATGTTTAGGAGGTGTGCCAGCTGGTCTTTGCTTCTCTGCAGGAAGGCAGACCTGGCTGAGCCTTCTCTGTGGTCAGACGCTGCCTGAGGTGGGCGTTGTGGTCTAGGCTATGAACCACTGTGCAAACACTTGTGCCTGTATTCAGGGCAGCCCAGCCTCCAACAGGCACGCCCTTGGGATAAACCCAGGAGGCTTTCCTACCTCCCCAGACTCAGGCATCACCAGAAGCCCTGGCCTCCCCACTCCTTCAAGATAATCCACCTCAACAAGCACTGGGTGCCTCTGAAAAATTATATGCAAGCCCCATATGGAGTGCCAGCTGAAGAGGCAGGGGCGGCTGGGGGTGAGCTCGGAGAGGGAGCTCCTGAGTCCCATCATGTTACGAGCACAACGTAATGAGAATTTACATCCCAAACAAGAAAAGGGCACCTAGGGGTTGTATGTAAGCTGGCGTGCACACACACACACACACACACACACACACACACACATACACACGAACACGCTCGTGTGCTACATGCCTGCTAACCCAGAGGGCTGCTTAGGGAAACTCAGGCAAGAGATGTGCTATTTTTTTCCTCCTGCCAGAGGAACAACCCTCAGATAGAATACAGCATTCATCCACACTCCCATAAAAGTACTTATCAGAAAATAACAAAACAAAAAATACCCAACACAATTTTACTCAGAATCTTTCACTCAAGAGGAGCCTGCAATTATCCACCCGCCTGCCTGAATTCTAATGATAGTGCAGTGTCCCGAGATGCCACGCTCGGGGATGCCGAGGCCTGGAGGCTTTTCTAGGTGGTTATGAGCTCAGTGCGCAGGCCTGGCTCGCTAGGTTGTCCACTTGGCCAGACACAAACCTCAGGTGTCCCCCAGCTCAGCAGCATGCGTGGAGCCCAGTGGTAGGGCATCAGCAAGGTCCAGGCCATCAAGGGACCCGAGCAAAAAAGTGGCTCAAACAGAGCCTGCACACCCATGCTGAATGAGTCACAGCGGGGGTGAGGCAGCCCACCTCCCCCGCTCGGGGTGCTCCCCTGCACCCGCAGAGCAGGTGACCCAGTTCAGCCTCAAAGCTGAGGCCTCTTCTCCACGCTCCAGGGCTGCGACAGAGCCTTTTCCTGCATCCTCTGCAGCCTGCAGCTTCCACACGGTGAAGAATCTGTATCCTCTTGTAAATGCTGCTGCAGAGGCACAAGCAAAGCAGCCAAGGGCCCAGCGGCCAGGCTTCTCTCCCGCCTCAGCCCATGGCCTCCTGAAAACCACTGTAAGACCCCAGGCAACCTGAATCACTCACTGGCAGAAACTGGGCCAATGCAATCTGCTTGTACTGTCCCTGGCTACGATGGTTTATGACTTAAGGCTCAAACTGCCTTTCAGGCCCAGGGACTATTTCTACTACAGCTTTTGGGCACTTACGTGACTCTCTCAGGACACAGGGGGCAGAAAGAAACTATTCTATGTCACTATGCAGGTGTCAGGGCTAGTGTCCATCACCTTACAGATGACATGGGCAGAGCCTGCCCTCAGGCGCTGGCAGCTAGGCCACGGCATGTGGCACGTCCTTCCGAAGCACCTGCCACACGACAGGCACCATCTGTGAATGTTACAGGTGATAACCTGTTTAATTCCAAAACTGCCTAGGAGGCAGCAGTGGCAAGCTGGTGGCTGGGCTCAGGAGGGATGGTTCACCTTTGACCCCAACGACACTCAGGGTGCGGCTCCAGGGACTCAGCACCAGGCCTCCCAGGACAAGCTGAAGTGACATTTGTGGTCAGTCTCTGCAAGTGACTCTCATTTCCCGGCCCTTTTTCTTGAGATAAGGAGATAGTCTCTGCCCACTCCATGAACTGGCCCCTCCCCCAGTTCTCCACCCTCGTGCCCTCCTCCCAACCTGCTCCCTGGCAGAGGTGACTCACAGCAGGAGGGCTGGGCTGGCAAGCAATAGGAGCCAGCAAGCGGGGGACAGGAGGAACGTGGGTGGCACCCGGCCCTGCCAGCTGCAGGCTGTCAAGGGAGGACACTGGGTGGGGCGGAGGAGGGGCAGGGAGAGGGAGCTGTGAAACCCACTTGTGCAGGAGGGGGCTCCCTTCTCTCACTCCCATCTGTGGCCCTGGGCCTCTACAATTCTGGGCACCAGAGCCCGTGTGCAACTGTATGGGCATGAGTCCCACATGTAGTATGGCTTGGGGGAAGTGACACTCCTTTGCTGGCCCTCATTTGCATGACGGGTCCCAAAGGATTGTGCTAGATTGAGCACAAGACCGTGTACACCCGTGCTTATTGTAGGGCAGGTTCCGGGGGTCCCCCCACTTATCAGTGGGCACTCCCCCCCACTTTGCTGCCTTTCGGGGGCTGCCAGTGATCCATGGAGAGCTTCTCCCTCCGTTCTACGGGCAGACTCAGGACCTTTGAGGGGCCCCCCAGACAAGCAGCCCAGGAAGGAAGGGCCTGGGGGCGTGAACCCTGCCAGTGGGAGCCTCAGGGGGTCCCTGCTCACACTGCCCTTGCTCACATCCATAAGAGGCTGGGGGAGGGCTGGCCACGGCTTCCTGGCCTCTGCTTCTTGAGGCTAACTCAGCTTCCACGAGCATGAGCCCAAGGCCGGCATCGCTGACTCGGGTGGATATCAGCCTGCCTATGCTGCCTGGGGTGGCTGTAGGGACACTGGATAAGGGGTAGCTGGAGGTTCCTGGTATCACAGGATTCTGGCCCTCCCTGGTGAGCAGCAATGGGACACAGATTACCAATAAGGCTTTCACTGAGCATCCAGGAAACTGCAGCTGCTTTCAGGGCCCACTGGGGGGCTCAGTCTGTCCCCATTCAAGGGGTAGCAAAGATGCCACATCCATCCTTGCTAGTCCCGTTCAAAAGCAACACGCTGTGGCAGAGACGGGCTCTCCTTCCAGCCTCACTCTCAGTCCCATCACTTAGGGAGCTGGGCCCATGACTAGCCAGTGCTCCAGACTGCAGTGGGATCAAGACCCTGTCTTTTTGTGGAAAGACCTGTCTCAAGGTAACTGGCTAAGACACAGGGTCCTGCTCTCCTCATCTCTCTCAGCCACATACATCCAGGGCAGCCTGGAAGTCGGTCTTCTGAAGTCTCAGAGGCCTCCGAACAGCCACGTCACATAACACAGGGCACTGGCCCAGCCCAGCCTGGTAAAAAGACACGTCAATCCCAAGCCCCACCCACCTGGAAGTTTAGCATCAGGATTTCACACTCCCAAGGGACAGGTGCTCAGGAATGCATCTGCCAATCCTTTGTGGCAGTGAGCCACCGGGCTGGGGGCTGGAGGACATGCTGGACTTTTACTCATGGGGTGGCTTTGATGCCCTGATGTCCACAGTTTTACCATCACCCTGTAGACCCTGGGTGGATGCCAGAAAGGCAGAGTTCGAATCTCAGGGCTGGTGCAGGTTAGGCCAGGGCCAGCAGGGAGACCTGAAAGCAACAGCTTTGGATTTGCTTGAGGATGGAGAGCCTGAATTGAGTGGGAAGTGGTTTCTGAAGAAAGAATGTCACCCAGGTAAAAGCCCCAGGCAGAGCTAGTTCCCACGGAGGTAAGGCAGCCCAGGCTCTCCCTGGCCAGCACAGACTATGAAGCCTGCATGGACCTGCCTACCCAGTCTTGGAGACACAGCTGGTGCAGAGGCTGAACGTGGATGCTGGGCAGAGACTATTCCTTAGGAAAGACATGTGGCTCTTGAGCAAAGAACCCTATTCAAGCCCTGGGGGAAAATGGCTTCTGTCTGTGCAGCGCTGGCTTTGGGCAGGCCTGGGAGAGTTCCCCCATTCCTTCCTGTACTAATTCGCCAAGGCTGCTCCCCAAGGGCATCCTGGGAGTCAGCAGGCACCTGACAGGTGGAGGTGATGATGACCTGGGCCGTGGAGGAGGGCAGGCGCTCTCCTGCTTAACTGCCAGGATCCGAGACAGAAAGGATTTCCT